CGTTGAATGATACTAAATACTTGATGGTTGGACGCTCCTAGACCTACTCATTCATAATACGGCTACGGCTACGGTAATTTTTAACCTAAACTCACAAATTTGGTACCAATCGACGCAGAATTGAATTCGCTACAAAATGATATAATATTGTCCTCATACATTAAAGGGTTGCTCTACTAGAAAGGTTTGCCAAAAAATTTCATTCATAATCGGCTACGACATATATAAATGAAACTAATAAAAGGACACTTTGGCACTAGTTTTCCTCAAGAACCAAGTAGATAATTCTTATTTATTCGAGATCATATTATAAGATATCATATTGATATCATTAAAAATAGATTTACACAAACAGATCTTGCAAGTTGATATGTACAAGATCTTGCCTTGCAAGCTGAAAAAACAATTACTGAGCGTACAAAAAGTGGCCCGGAGAAAAGCCGTAAACAGGTGAAACGATAATGATTTGACTGAATATGTACCCACACTTCTTCTCGGAATTGTAGACTGAATTCTTGAATATTATTGTATACCTTTGCTCTATCAGAAGCTGTATTCACTTAAAATAGCAAATATCAGCCGGCACCTTGAGCAAATCATTCAGAATCGATCCAACAACCTTGAAAACCTTCACTGAACGGTCTCCATTTTTAAATGATCACAATTTGGGGTCGAAATGTCACTTATCAATTCTACGTACCACTTCAAATATTCTATTCACTTAATATGCCGACTCTTCTCACAAGTCTTCTTGCCGGTTATCTTATCTTTTTCAAAACACCCGCCGAAATGAAACACTACAAATATATACTGGCAAATATTTGGGTCAGTTGTTGAACAAAACAAACAAAGAATTTTTCAGTTCTGGACCTCGGGCACCGATGTTTTCTTTTCATTACTCATTCATCCGCAAATGTTTTTACCGCTTCTTGGTGGAACCACGTCGAATCTCATTTGGAATTATCTGCTTTTTGAATTTACCGATTATGGGTACTTTCCCAGTATCGGGTAGACATGGGAAAATTCCAATCCGAGACTACAGTACTGGACAATGAAATATCAAAAATAATGAAATCATATTTGAAAAACGATCGTCACTTTCGCGCGTCTGTAGCTCCCTTGTCTTTGAGTTTAAACTATTAGTGTTATACATTTTCTGTCCAATATTCAAGCTGTTAGCTGTTTTTCTTTATGATAGAGTGCTGAAATCGCTCTGAAACTAAGATTTTCGGAATCTACGCAAAAATTTACCTTAAAATAGTCAATATTTGTAAAATTGTATCAAAATTTCATAGCGAAAAAAAACCACATTTGCGAAATTCTCACTTCTTAAGCGGTCAAGCGAGGAAGAAGCTGGAAAACAAATATTTAACAAAAATGTAGTAAAATGAACAGTAACAAAGTAACAAGTAACAAAGTAGTAACAAAAACAGTAACAATAATGAGAAAACTCCAGAGCACACAATGGAAATTTCAGTATTTAGCAGCAAATCCTTTAGCGTCGATTACAGCTTGACATCGCCGAGGCATTGAATCAAGAAGATTATTGATGAAACTGACGGAGATTGTTGTTGTTGTTAGGTTTAGCTCGTTGTATTTAGCAGCAAATCCTTTAGCGTCGATTACAGCTTGACATCTTGTAGCTTGTAGAAACTTGGAGATGGTTGACTGAGTGACGGTAAACTGTTCCGCTAACTGGTTCTGGCTGAGATCTTTCTTTTTCCCGTTAAGGATAGCTTGTTGTGTAGGCACATAAAGATCCTTGCATCCTCGTCGCTTTCCCATTGCACCTAAAAACAGTAATTATTATCATTTTACCCAAGGCAAAGAAAGGAAAACACTCAAAGTTGGATTTTTTGCAAATAAACCGCCCAAGAAATGAGAATTTCGCAAATGTGGTTTTTTTTCACTATGAAACTTTGATACAATTTTACATTTACAATCAAATATTGATTATTTTAAGGTAAATTTTGGCGTAGATTTCGAAAATCGTACTTTCAGAGCGATTCCAGCACTCTATCATAAAGAAAAACAGCTAACAGCTTGAATATTGGACAGAAAATGTATAATACTAATAATTTAAACTCAAAGACAAGGGAGTTACAGATGAGCGAAAGTGACGATCGTTTTTCAAATATGATATTTCATTGTCCAGTACTGTAATTCCACCTTCGTTTTCTCGGTCTTTTCTTGTCCGATTGCTCTGAAATTTTGTCTACAAGCTGAAAATGTCGTTTTCTATTTGTAGACGAGATTTCAGAGCAATCGGCCAAAAAAAACAATGATGAAATTCGGTTCGAATTGGAATTTTCCCATGTCTAGTATGGGGGAAGAGATTTTGATTTTGATTTTAACTCTCTTCCGATACTGGGAAAGTGTTCAGATGGGGAATGTGGGTGAGTTTCAGTGTAAAAATTGAAATCTTTCGATATCTTCTCTTCATTTTGTTCTACTGAAGAAATTAAAACCTAGTGGCTAGAAAGCCTGCGTTTGTTAGAGCACAAAGTACGTTCACATGTTCAATTCCACCATTTCTAGCTAACATCATGGTTCTTTATTGCAAACGGCTCTTTATCTCTACTTGATGGATTTTTGTATCGTCTATGGGCACTCTCAATGCATAGTTGGGCAATGGATAAGCCAAAGTAACATCTAATTGAAAAGTCCTTAAAAATCAAACTAGACGAATGATCGTTGTTCTCTTTTTGGTACATGCAATCCATATTATTCCAGCATTTGTATTAGGTATCCTTGCATATACTCCAAGATCGAAAGCTGAAGACTTCATACGGCAGGTTTGTTGTGCTGCTGTAGGCTGTAGATCCAGTGGCTTACCATTTAATAATTAGCGATTTACTGTTCAGAAATTCCCCGAATACTCTGACATATTTACATTGTGCAATTTTGTGATTATCGAGCCAAGCTTGAACCCATTTAACGCCTATTTTCTTTACGCCGAATTTATCGGCACCATGTGGGTATTTGGAACTGGAGGGTGGATAATGAGTAAAATATACAGAGTGTTAAAGGTGAGCTTTTGAATGAAAATGTGGATTTTTTTGTCAGAAATTCCGAAGTTCAATGAGTGTGAAGACGTACGAGCAGCACAAAATGCTTACGATTTCCCTTGTCGTGCAGATAGCGATACCACTTTTGATCTTCTATTTGCCTATGTTGATCGGTTTGGGATATATTCGGTTTGATAGTGAGAAAGCTGATACGATAAGGGTTAGAGGTATGTATGGTAATTACAGTAAACTTGTCTTTTCTGTTTTTTTGTGGTTTCGCATGTTCTCTTGGCGTTATTTTGTTTGCATACAAATCTAAATATCATTTCTATGATCTATTTGATAACTCCGTACAGAAATGAGGTTCGCCGATTGCTTGGTATCCTGAAAATTATGAAGTTTGTTAGATACCGTATGCTCCGCCAATATCAGTCTATTCAATTTTAGGCCTTACGAAATTGCTTCTCAAAACAGAATTTCAAATGTGCCGACAAGTAGTTTCTAAACTGATTGAATAGATTTTATTCGATAATTTTCGCGATAAAAACAATAAAAAGGATGAAAAAATTTCTAAAATCCATGATGACAAACCACTAAATCGAGGTTATTTTCACGACTATACATTCAAAATCACAGGGCAGGAATGTATCATACACAAACAAATCTGAAAACGAGTGACTTCAGTGAAAATTGCATACTTCACTTAATCAGCTACCTTAAAAGTTATATTTAGCTAGGGAATATTTTATAAGGTGTTCTAATACTATTAATCATTAATCAAGTAAAATAATGAAACCTGGAGAAAAATTGAAGTCTGGAAACATTAAATCGGATTTGAGCACAGCATTTGAATGTTAATTTACGGAGAGGAAGTCGTCGAATAGTGTGTGTCGACTCCCGGTGCGTTACCCCATTTCTCAGCCATCCAACGAATTGTCTTTACACTAATCTAAAAGAAAGTAAATAAAACAAAATTTTAAATAGGTAGATGTTAAACGTTATCTACCGTTATTACTTTAAAATTAAAAGCCATACTTACCTGTGGACCAATTAAAGGATTAAGTTGATGAAGATAAACGAGAATCCAGAACATCCAACAACAAACAGCTGTCAACACGATCATCGTTTGGATGATTCCTGAAAAAAATTGATTATTAAAAACACTACTTTCCTAAAGATAAGCCTGTGCAACGAGTTATTAGTTATCTTAATGAATAAATACAAAACAAACCTCTATTGACGCCTTTTGGTACGAGCCAGGGACCGCCAAATCCGATGAGCGCCCAAAATGCCGACACTGACACCAACGGAACGATGACACCCATGTCTGAAAAAAGAAAAATCTTTAAAATGCTAGATGAATAATAAAAAGAATGTTAAGAAAACTTATAAGTTTAAGAGAGTAAAACATATTGAACACGGTGAGCAAAAGGAAGAAGGGTCGAAGATTGATTCGATGCAATCGACGCACATTTTTAGGGGGCGTGACCGAGCGAGAGATCATTGGAGTACGCGACAAAACGGGTCAGAGAATAAAGTCTAATATTGATCTCTCATTTCTTTACTCTAAAAAATATCTAAAAGTTATATTTACAAGTTGAATTTTTGTTGAAAGTAAAGAGGTTGTTTGAACGATTTCTCATGTTTTAAGAGCTTCCAAATGCTTAGAAGTGCATGGCTTTAACAAGCAACATAAAATGATTGGAGGCGCTATTTTTGAAACCCTTCAGCTGAAGATCATTCCATTTTCAGTCAAAACTCTAACTGAATATCTTTAAATGTGAGGAATCCAGGGATATTCAGTTTTCCGTGCTTTCATTAGTTCAAAACTTTTTATTTGGCGAATCTTATCTCGACTTTTTGGATGCGTCATGAGAAAAATCACATGTTATTTACATCGTTTAATTGCAAAATATCTTTATATTGTTTATTTATCAGCTTTCATACTTGTTTACATTGTTTATTCATTAAATTTTATCGTTTACTTTAGCCATGGTGAAACTGTGTCCGCTGTGTGGCCCGATAGGGTCCGCATTTTGGTGAGTTTTAGACCTTTTAACTTTTTAATTGAGAATTATTTGAGCAATCACCTCAGAGCAAATATCTAGCGTTGAATATCTTGATTGTTAATTCTTTTTAGTATGGTCATGTCCGCTTGGGGTGTCATATTTTTGGGTCTCCTCGGAGTATTCTTCTATTTGCAGGTCTGTGCGCATTTTTTTATTTAAAGTTAATGAATTAATTTAGGCTGTTACCCTATTCCCCGATCTTCATTTCCATATCGAAAAAGCTGGAGATTTTCCAGTAGGGTGGGTTGTTTTGGGAATTTCAAAATATCCAGTAGAAGTGAGACAAGTTTGAAAAGTTTCAGTAAGCAGGAGTAAGCTTTACTTAATTTAGTTTTGGTTGTTTCGTCTTAATTTTTTTTTTTAGTTTTGGTTGTTTCGTTTTAACAGTTCGGTATTTTAGAGCGTTTAAATCCATTTGCCCTGACGGATATTACTTTCGCACATAACGGTGCTATAAATATGGACTAGAAGAAAACGACCCAAAAAGATCTTCAAGCATTCAATTTAAATCATGCGATTTAGTAAAATCGGCGACGCATATGGTGAAAAGGCGACTCAATGTTGGATTGCGGCGGGAATGTATGCTGTCACGTTGGTACTCGTTTTCTGGCAGAACAAATACAACACACAAAGCGTCTTCTAACTTCGCTAGCCGTATTTTTACCTTTAATTTTGTTTAAATCTTAACATCTTCAACTTTCTACAAAAGTTGATAAAAGTTTTTCCCTGTGATAACGTGGTTCATGGATTTATGAATGTTTGAAGAATGTATAGCGACGTCAGATTCTATTTTCTCCTATAGCATAATTTTATTTGAGCTGTTAGTGACATTCCAGTATTATCTGCCCTTTGATTCACTTCCGTAAATGCACAGATAAATTTTATTGAATACTCTGGGTGATTTCAGTTTGCTTGATAAGTTTTAACAACACAGAAACATTTATTTGAATTAAACCCGAAAAGCCAAATAGCAACCTAGAAATCAAAATTGAAAATGCCGAATGAGGATAAATAGTTTATAACAAAATTTAACAGAGGTGAGTTTTTTACATTAATATCTTGTTTTGCTGAGTAAATGATGATTGAATGGGAAACGCCTAAAAACATCCACTGTATTATGGACCAAATTAACTGACCGTTTTGGCTTTAAATCCAATCGACGCGAGACTTTGACGATTTATCAGTCCTTGCTAAAAAAAAGAGTTTAACGTCCAAAAACGAGTGTTTACCATCGAATCGAATTTCGGATCCCCCTCAAACGCGGATTCACCATTAGTCAACCGTTCTTCTGCCACTTCCAATATCTCTTTGCCCTTGCTGACCTATATAAAGATAACCCAAACGTTTCAAGAAATATTTTCACCATGTCCTTGGCTCGCTGATAGCACAATGCACGGTAAAATAACATGTCCTATAAAGATAGAAAACACTTATTAGTTTGAAACAACTAACTTGAAGCTGCATCTTTTGATTATCGTAACTTATCCAATCCGCGTCTTTCCACTGCCACTCAGTGAATCGGGCTTCGAATGACTAATTCATGATTATAAGTTATTTTAGACAATTAGATCCTACCGTCGTCTCTATCAGTTCACCATTTGCAATTTTCTCTGCATACAACAAGACGAAAGCACCACAATCAAAATTTGTCCCTTGGCCAAAGACTTCACGCACTGCTCTCGAACTAAAGAAAAGTATTTCCCATAAATCAACTTTCAAACAACCAGTCGAACTTACTGAAGTTTAGTCTTGAAAAGTCCCGGATCCTCCTTAAAAACCAAAGCGGCAAATCTCATGATAGGAAATAGCGTTCCCTAAAAAGACGATGTTTTCATAAAAGAAAAGGTATTAGCATTACAATTATTACTCTAAAGCTACACACCTCCATTTCTCGATCATGCAATTGTGGCAATACTCGATAATTTTGTCCATCACTACGTTCGATATCTTGCAACTAAAAAATAATACTTTATTTTCTGCAAAAGAAACGAACAAGCGAGTCGAATACATGGACGAATGCTGGTTGTGTGTCATGGCGGTCGATTACTTTTTTGTCCAGCCATTGCGCGTAGTGAGACACAACAATCAAATACCTAAACGTAGTTTAAACAGTATTTTTTTTATTGATAATCTACCAATGATTTCCATTAGGGAGGAAAACTACGATGGCGGTATATGGCTTCGACGTGTCACAAGCAAAGTTCTTGATTTCGAAGTTCTTTCTTAATTCGTTCGCTGCAGACGGATTCTAAAATTGAATATATTGGATGAACTTTACGATACATACCTCATCTAAGAATTGACGTGCAATTTTTGGATCATGAATCTGATCGAGTTTGTATTTCTTCACTAAATTCTGCCAAACTGTGAAGCTTTGAGAACCGACGTAGCCAAGTTGAAATTTTCTAAACAAAATTTTTATTAGTTTTTATTTTTTACTTACGAGCCATTTATGACAGTCTGCATGAGTGGATCAATAGCGAACGAGTCAATATATCTAAAATAGATTTTTCCTAGAAACTAATAAATAACTAATAACTCACCGCCTTTGTAGTAAATCAGTAAGCATTGTCGCTTCTCGTTTAACTACTTGTCCGCTCGGAAACCGTAGTGAAATCTCAAGTTGTCATATGAATTTATCACCAATAATTCCAAAACCCAATCACAAACACTTGGAATTAAAAAATACCGTCGGCGAGCGAAAGATCTTATTGATGGGAATGCTTCGTTGTTCATCTTCATCGTCCGACGAGAGATCGACAACATCTTCTGGTGAAGCAGAATTCATCTAAAACACGATAAATGAGTTTTTAAAATTTCTTTGTCCGAAATTAACACTAACATCAACACTGATTCTATCAAATTTTAAGCCAAAACTTACTCTATCGGAGCCACCGGGAGTATTCCTGGCCTCGGGTTGGGAGGTCGTGGGCAAACTCTAAAAAGGTCCAATCAAAATCCCAAACTGAAATGCATACGAACTGCCCCAAGTTCAGAAGAAGGTCCACGTCTTCGTGTCGAAAATTTGACATTTGATAACTAAACCAGCTTGGAAGTTACTAAATAAATGTTAAAACTTGGTAAACATCTAATGGTTAAATCAACCATAAAACACCTAACCAACAAAAAAAGCTGAACAAATTTATTTAACAATTAACAAGTTAAAATAAAACAACAACAAAACAATCACTGATAATTTTTTCAATTTTTGGCCTTTGAAGGTTCACCATTTGCTATTCGTCTCAAATAATCTTCCTCTCTATCGTCATATTTCCCACGCATAAGTATGAACCAATAAAGCAAATCGTCAAGCCTTCCTGTATAAAGTAATTTGATAAATCCATTAAACACCAACCGTCGTACGACTCTTTATTAAGGGCATTACGGAGCTCGAGCAAAGAATAATATATTGCTTCTAAAGAAAAAGTAAAAATTTTAAAGGAGTGTGATAATACCTATTGTCGCTAAATGGTGATCATCCAAGTTGTGCTGCGTACGCCAAAAGATCGTCTTATATTTCTTCAAATGCACACATGGGAGACCTTAACATAAGTATTGCATCCTCAAAATAACCAGCCAAATTAACCATTTATTTGGGGAAGCTTCTGCATTACTCCAACTTGAAACCATGTTGAGTCCAGAAATACGAAACGATCTATTTTGCCTTCCTTGGCAACAAATTCTTCAATGCTCTGGGCACCGGGTGTTGGAAAAACTAAAACCTAAATGTTATCCTCATCAAATTAAGATCTATTTCAAACCACACGCTCTTCAGGAAAGTTTGTTCGATAATCAGGCAAATTCACTGTATCATATATTTGCGTTTTAGATGGAGCGGCTAACTAAAGTAAATAAATAAAAAATAAGATTAGAATTCTAAAACAAACCTTGCAATGAATCGCTGTCGACTTGCTATTCTTTTCCTTCGGATGTTTGATAACGTCGACTTTACAAGGAAGCTAAACCCACAAGAGAGTACAATTATATTTTTAGCATCAAAAAATACCTCAACTTGTGGATAAAATATGTCAGATAACGTCTGGTGGCAATCGTAGCAGAAGTACATTCGGCGTCGTTTGCATTTGGGACAAATTTGCTTCTCGAGACCCTCAAGTTTTTCATATGAAGACAATCGAAGAGAATCGCGAGAGATAGAAGTCATCTGAAAAACAAAACTTTTGTATGGCAAACAAGAGTAAGTAAATGGACAAAATAATAAAGAAATAGAGCTAAAAAATTTTCCGAAACCTTATATAGAAAAGGATGAAAAAATGAAAATTTAATGAGTTGACTGAATAACTTGTAATTGACTGCTGAAGATTCGCCGATAAAACTCTGTAAAACAATTTTCACACTTACTCATTTATGCGTGAAAAATTAGAACATCTATTTTTGAGTTCTGTGCCTGTATAACCTTTTGCATAGAAAAGCGCATTGTATGCGTACGTTTCGATCGCACAGAGCCTGGGACCCCAAGGCTATCTAGGAAGAAAAGACCCTAAGTATTGGGCGAGTAGACAAACCCCTTTATAATTGTATGTTTTACCGAGTAGGCTCTAAAGTGATTTGGTCAATCTAATCGGACTTGTTTCTCTTTTCAAAATTACTATTCTGGTATTTTAAAGTTTTTAGGTGCTGAGTAATGACAACTAGCAACATTGAGCTTGGTCTCATCATCACTTCTTCAAGAAACAACTACTATTTACCATGGAAAACAAATGTCCCCGAATTAGTGACTACGTAAGGCTTCAAAAATTAGCACCGATACAATGCAAAGATTTGTCTTTTATTTCTGTACTTTTTAAAAATAAATTTTTTTAGTGAAGTGCCCCGCGATTGTTATCAAAATTGGGTCGTCCGTATACAAGAACCTGGCAGCATCGAAAAATACTTGTATCCGTTGGAAGCTTCTAAGAAAGCCCCATTAATCCACCGTCATCGAAATAATCGCGTTGAGGTAGTTTTTAGAGACTTTTGGATAACTTACGTTTAAGGTACTGTTACGAAATTGCTGGTTAGAAAAAGACGGCTCCATTGCTACTGAGGTATGTTTTTCGAAACATTGCTTGATTGTTGGTCTTTATTTAGGATTCAATAATGGCGTGGCCAATAACGGACCCACAAGGTTATCTGCAGCCGCCCGATTTTAATCGACGATACACTCTATGGGGACGAGTGGGCTTTATGGAGGAAAGCCGGGATATTTCAATAAAGGTATGTAGTTAATATGAGTAGTGGTTTTCATATTATGAGAGATGCAAATGTACTCAAGTAATTTAGGTCGTCGAAATTGTTGAATCTTGGTCAAGAAGTTCACAGAAAATGTTTTCTCCTACTTCCATCGGATATCGTCTAACCTTTCCAGAGGTTGAATTGTTTTTAGTGTTTTTATAAGATAGCTTTAAGGATTACAAAGCGAATCAGGAGATGTGTTGCTTACTTACTGAACAAAAAGGAACGAATGGGAGAAAGTAAGTAATGGCAGAAAGTAAGGAGGAGAAAATAACAAAAACTTTAGAGAAAAAACGAGTGGCACTCTCATACTGAAGATACTGCAGGAATTGCTCACCGAAGAAGTGACACGAGAGGCGATTTTGCAATTCGAGCCGGCCATTTTCGATCAACTTTTAAAACTTTTTGATATGAGAGAATTTTAATCAATAATTACATTACATAGCTCTTCTTTGTTTCCTTTGCACTAGAGACAGTTTTACAAATTTTACGGGTGCTTTTGGCATTTTTTTGAAAGCGGGTCTAATTTTATTTGGGTTTGATTTTGAATAAATTTTTGTTGCTGTAACTCATTTTTATGGGCGGAAATTGGATTTTATTTACTTTTGGGTCCTTAATTTTGAGTTTTGTTGACTGCCAGGAATTTGGGCTTCGTATGGGAAATTTCTTGTGGAGAGTAAAGGTCATGACAAAATGTGAAAAATCTCCCGATGCGTCCGTTATTTTTGCACTATACATACCACTTTGAGCTACTTTTTTGAAGTTTTTTGGAAATTTGGCACAAATTATTTTTTTCTTTCGAACACCCTGTATATTTGAATTGAAATTCGGATTGCGTCCAACGAGTCCATTGATGGCCACTCATTCGACACACGATGCGCAAAATTGCAGTGCTTCTTTTCGCCACCATTCTGCTGGTTGTGGTAGGTGATTTTTAGATCGAGTTGCTCAATTCCATTTTAGGCAAATCCTATATTCGAGCAACCAACAACCGAGCACCTCACCGATCAAAACTTCCAAGAGGTAGGTGGGGTGCCTTTTTCTTGGTTATTGGTTTTACTTAGAAAGTGCTTAACTCATCCGATCCATGGATTGTCGCTGTTTATTGGAATCCCTGCAAGCACAGTAAACGGTATGTCAACATGGTGTTTCGAATTACAAGCTAGCTAGACTTGTACAAGACTACCACTATATTTTGTTTTTCATGTTATTCGATAGAAGTTTGGCCAGAAATTATTTCTACCTTCAACAACAGCAACGTTAGAGTGGGTTTTTCCTTTTATGCATGTTCTGTTTTTTAGCTTGGCGCACTCGAACAGAGAAATCGAGGGGTGGTTCATCGATTTCGGAAGTTTATTCCCGGATATCCAACCGTTCTTGTTTTTCGCTCGAACTCTTGTTAATTTTTAAAAATTAAATAGTAACAATATGGGGTTAAAATTGACTAATTTGGCTGATTTAGTGGAGCCCCTCGATCGCAACTTTATCGAAGAAGAGGACGATCTTATAAAAGTAGCTCATTGAAAGTGTCTCAATTGTGTCTCAATGTGAATGAAAACGAACAAGATTGGTGAATGTCAAATCTATTTTATTCCCTCTGAATTTTCAGTAAATAAAAGTTTTCAGATTTTCAATTAGTAGTTGTTGATGCATTAATTTGAATTCGACAAAATTTTTAAAATTATCCCGATTTTTAATCAAAGCCAAATTACCCTCTCCAACGTTTCGAAGCACCTGCTTGGATGGCTTTTTCTTTGCAAGGCAACTCTCAATTTTTAATATTGATTGCTAAAGGATAAATTTCTTTAATTGATTGTCTTATTCTTTTGCCGACATAATGCTTTACGGACCCTACGAATATCCGAGTCTTTATGTGACATTGATTCGAATGCAAACGATTTTTGGCTTGCCGTTAAACGGGTTCACTCTTTATTTAATATTTCGAAAATCTGGCCAACATATGAAGGTTTATCGGTATTACTTGGCTTCCACACAGGTGTGCTATAAAAGTAGAATTCATTCGGAGCTCGAATACCGTAAGCATTTATTTCAGTAATAAAAATCTAGACTTTATCATCATTGAGCGAGATTGTACTGGGAACTCTTTGTGCCGATCCATTCTTTCCGGCAATGTCTTTGGTTATTCATGGATTAATTGTTCGGAATATCTCGTGGTATCCTCAAGTTGTTGTGGTTGATAAAAAAGCTTTGATCACAAAAAATTTCCCCTTCAGATGGGACTACTTTGTCTTTTTGGAGCGCTTTTCATTTCGATTCTTTTATGTTTTGTGTACAGACATCAACAACTTTTGGAGATGAATAGTCGATTTAAGTAAGATAAAATATTGGGTTGGTGAATTGAAAACTGCGGGCTATTTCGCGGGATTCGCAGATAAAAAAACAACAGCATTGAACCAGCTGAAAGGGGGTTTGGTTACTTCAACATTTCCTCAAATTATTGCGAAAAAATTATGCTTTCAGCTTTTTATTTTTTGGTATTTTTCTTCACTTCTTCTATTGCACTCGACAATCTGCCACCGGGACATATTCGTCATGGCATGCTTCATGAGTTCCTACAAGAGCACAGTGCAGGCTTGGCAGCTGCTAATATTAAAAAGATATGTGGGGAGGACTCACCTTCCGAAAGAACGTGTCGAGTATGGTTTACCAAGCTTCGATCTGGGGACAAATCTTTGAAAGATGCAGAGGGCCGTGGAGCGGCCACCCCAACTGGATGATTCCAAATTACTCGAACTCATTACCAACGACCATCGGGTATCATCGCGTGAATTGGGAGAAGAGTTAGGGGTTGATCATGTTACAGTGCTAAATCACCTGGTGTACTGGGAGGGAGTGGTGCACTGGGAGTTGTTGAATAGCAAGACGACCGTTAATGCAATCAAATACAGTGAACAGTTGGGAAAGGTGAATGAATCCCTGAAGAAGAATAGGCCCTCTAAGTCAAAGATCGTTCTCATCCACGACAACGCGCGCCCCTCATGTTGCAAAACTGACTCGCTCTAAAATAAATAGCCTTGTTTGGGAACTTTTGGCGCTTTCCCCATACAGTCCGGACCTCGCCCCTTTTGATTACTATTTATTCCGGATCATGAGTAATGAGCTTCGAGAACACTTCGATTCGGAAGAAGCAGTCAAAAACTGGCTTTGAAAGTTTTTCGATTCAAAACCAAAATCCTATCACGAAAGAGGAATGCAAATTGCCTGTAAAATGGGCAGAAGTCGTCAATAATAATGGAAATTAGTTGGAATGAATTTATGGTTTTATGTTCAATAAATTTTAGTTCAAAGTCCCGCAGTTTTCAATTCACCAACCCAATAAAATAACGAGTACTTTGTATGATTTCAGATTATCGAATTTCTCGATTTTGGTGATAGCAATTGTTTATTATCTCGCAGAGACCATCCCACTTTTTATCATTCGGAGTTTTCTTGTGATCAAAGAGGCTTCCGATGTTGAAGTGACGCAAATGATTGAGGTTGTGGTCGCATTTTTTCAAGTTATTTTATTGAAAGAGTTGTACTGTAGTGAAGTTTAAAAATAGAGTACTTACAGTAAGCATAAAAAGCCACATTTAGCAATTTCCCGATATGGGACCGACTCTGAAAACGTTGCCGACATTCTGGACAATCAAAAACTCTCCGCTCTACTCATTTCAATCAATCAATGCCCCAATGTTGCTGATATTGGTGCTTGGCTTTTATGCGATTCTACATGGGATTACTGTACTCTTTTTAATGAAAATATTTAAAATTACCGTGGCTATTCTAGCAGAAACTAAAAAGACCATTTTTTGACAGATTCGGGTTCCATTTTCAGGGTGTCATCCTTGTCGCTTCTTCTATTCAAATACTTACCAAACGAAACGACCATTTGAGTGTGAAAACGAGGAAAATGCAGAAAATTTGCCTTACCTCGTTGATTCTACAAGTATAGTATGAATATTCTAAAAATCACTGAAATTTCAGACAATAATTCCAACATTGTGGATTGCTTTGCCGATCGTTTGTCTCTGTCCGATTGTCGTCTCGGGGATTGCAATTGGGCAATGTGTGTGTTTGATTGTTGTTGTGTTTGTTGTTGTTGTTTGTTGTTTGTTGTTGTTGTTGTTGTTTGTTGTTTTTGTTTTCCCCAACTTTCCCTCACTTACCACTTTCAATCGTTACAGCGATCAATCGATTTATGACTTTTATGTTCTCATGTCATGGATCTGTTGCCTCGATAGCTGTTCTTTGTATCTATGAACCATATCGAGTCTATATTAAGACGAAATTCAAGGTGCTCCTACATAAAACTCCAATATTGAGGTGAAAAAAAGGGTGATTCTTGAGAAACGCTTGTTTTAAAGAGATTTCGAGGCAAAATGGTCTTCAAAAGTCGGTCACAAAGTGGTAATCAATGTATCGAAACACACACATTCAACTGGGATTCGATAAATGACAAGAAAAGATATTTATCAAGACAAGAAAAGATATTTATTTTTTACTCTTTTATATGAATAGAACTTGACTGTAATAGATTTACTAACAATGTGAAAAAAAAAGCTTTTCTTTTTCTCTATGCATTCCCATACATATTCGAGGTTGTCTTACTGTGATTTAACCCCGGATTGGTTGATTTCGCATTTGCCATAAGCATTGATGATTGGAGTAAACGGGGAGAGTTTTGCATGGAAATCGTCGACACAGCCGTCTTCGTGTGCACTCCATCTCTTCCTTTCAATTTTCCCGTCACAATCATGCGCGTCTCTTCGGAAATCAACAACAAGAACCTGGAAAGGACTGTAGTATCACAAAGAAATCTTCCTTGGCTTCATATTCAATTCTTCTTTCGTTGCTATTCTCAAATCTAAATACCATAACGGAAGAAAATTGGTCAAATCTGAGAAAACAGGCGAAAACTCGAAGAAAAACCAGAAGTCATCCATTGATTGAGTGTTTGTGATGATCTAGAAACTTCTTGAACTTAGAGAGAAAATTTGCAGCTTTGAAAACGGTAATTATTTTTTTCTGAAAAAAACTTTTCAAGTTTTTCTGTGTGGAAGGGATAATGTTTGTTCTCTTTTTTTAATTGGCTGCGATGGAATTTCAAGATTGACATTTGTTGAAAAGTTTTGAGAAACAAAAAATTGCAATTAGTGTTGCAATTAGTAAAAATTGCAATTAGTAAAGAAGGTACATTGTAGCTAATAGCTACAACAGCTATTAACTATTAACTATTGTGTCAAAAATCGTTTTATTTTACAATCCCCATCCTATTTTGTGCTCACCATATCCCCCGTGTTGACAGCTTGCATGATAAATTGAAAAACAGTGAGCACATGAAATGCCATTTCCCTTCGATTAATCGCTCTTTGCATTGATCTCGAATGAAAATATAAACGAATACATGTATAGATATTCACTAGGAAACAAATGAAAACGATCGAAAGGCAGAGAGGGAAATAACCATTATCAAGAGCTTGCTGAAAAACGGGATTTCATGTTAAAGAAAGTTGAAAAGTTACCGTTAGAGGTGATTGATTAAGGGTGTATGGGATGTAATAGCCCCAACTGGCTCTGTAGAAGAAACTGGAATCGGTGAAAACGGGGCCTGTATAGAGAGAACAAAAAAGGGTACAGCCGATGCAAGTATGCCAGGTGTAACGACTCCAGAACTGGAAAAAGATTGCTGAACCTAGTTAGACCTAGTTTGCTTTCAAAAGTAGTGCAAACCAGCCGACAACCCGACTAAGGGCGAATTTTTCTGGCCAAACAGCTTTGTCGCCGTGATCCAATCGGGAGCGAGCTTGCCTACAACCCATCCGGGTTCGACCCCTCGTAGTGTCACTCATATGTCCGAATACTGCTGTTTTAGATACTGTAGTGAGACAAGGGACTCAAACTTACGCTAGACGGAAACTAACCCATTCGTAGTGCTGCGGGAAGGTTAAAGAAGTTGCTCGATTAATTGCAATGAGAAGAGTGCCAAGTTCTTGAAAAAGAACCGAAAACATGTAACCGACAGCAAGAATTGCAGGGATTACGCCCTCCTGAATAAAGGATTTGTGGGGGAAATTGATGATAACCGACTTGAACATTCCAAAAGAATTCATAGACACCCCAGGTTGGGAGACGAATTCGGAAAAGGAGACTGTAGTGCATTAGCAAGTCCTGAAAAGAAAAGTTCAAGGCGTTTATCTTGCCAAACACTCACATTGGTGAGACAAACAAGGAAGATCTTCTGATAATGTGTCTTGAAGCCGTATTTTATGTGATATTTGACAATTCGTATATAAACAAACAAAGTGATGAGGCCGATTGTGATGAAAATCGAACTAGAGCACACTTCGAATGGATCCACGAAGTGACCCTCGAAATCATCAGGAGCCACATCAGTGGCCATTTTGAGGGAATGATGGGAATGATGGGAATGATGGGAATGATGGGAATGATGGGATGAATTTTAATCTGAAAAACAAATGCAAATCTAAATTCCCTGTGAAGAATATTGAGGAAAACCAGAAATTATTGAGGCAATTTGAAAATTATTGGTTTTGAAGCAATGACAAAAGGAAAATTGATGATTTGAAATGAAAAGCTTTGTGAGAAAATAGTTTTGTGGAAATTGTTGATTAAAGTTGTGGAAAAAGTTTATTGAGCAAGAATTCAGATCGATGTAATGATTTTCCCGAGGGATTTGAGGAACTATTGCATGTCTGTGAGTTATGTTTGCAGAAAAAAGAGATTTCTGTGCTCAAAAATGAACGCACCCTTTCTGGGGCACTCAATACGGCATTCTTCTCGTTACAAAGCGTCACAGAAAACATGAATAAATAGAAATGATTTGTTTCCATTTTCGAGTACAAAGTACACGTGATCCTAAACAATTGATGTTCTTGTTGTAATCAATCTTTCTTTCTTTCTTTATCTTTATCTTCAATTAAACATATTTGCAAAAATCGGTGATCCAAAAGTGATCTTATTGTGATTTGTATTGAGTGAAACCGATTCCCGATTGATACTTTTTGTTGTCGAATTGATTGATGGATGGATTGTTCGTATGAAGAGATTCTCTCTTTCATGTAATCTCCCATTGATCATCATTCGCGTTTCTTTCGATATCAATACGAGAAACCTAAATTGAAAATATTACACATAAAAACTAACAAGTTCTTGATGTTCTTGATGGCTCTGAAGAAAGAAAAAAGCAGATAGAAGAAAGAAGAAAGAAGAGAGAAGAAAGAAGAAAGAAGAAAGAAGAAAGAAGAAAGAAGAAAGAAGAAAGAAGAGAGAAGAAAGAAGAAAGAAGAAGAGAAGAAGAAAGAAGAAGAAGAAAGAAGAGAGAAAGAAGAAGAGAGAAGAAAAAAGCAGATAGAAGAAAGAAGAAGAAAGAAGAAAGAAGAAAGAAGAAGAAAAGGAACTTAAGTACTAAATTAGAATAAGTAAAAAGTAAAAGAACAGGTCGTAAATACTGTAATAGTACCCCACCCCCCTCGTACAGTCGCGTAGTCGCAAAGTCGTAGTCATTTTTTAGTATTTCATTTTTTTCAAAGCGCCCGTACTTTCAAAAAATGCGTCTTTGGTATCAAAAAATAGCTGAAATCCAGGGCTATTTTTTGATACCTAAGCGCACATTTTAGCATAAACCAGTGTCGAGAAAAACTCGTTTTTTCGGGATGGTTGCGTAGTCTAACTTTAAACATCCCGTTCTCCGCGCTGCTTTATGCTACAATATGCACTTTAATATCAAAAAATAGCCCTAATTTCAGCTATTTTTTGATATATGTTGTAGCATTGTAGCATAAACCAGTGTCGAGAAAAACTCGTTCAAAGTTAGACTACGCAACACTCCGCACCGTCATTATGGGGGTGGGGTACTATTACAGTATTTACGGTAAGTATTACTTGATTAGAATAAGTAAAACATAGACAAATCAATTCAGTAAGCATTCAGCATCATTGAGTATCACTTTTGTGAGTAAAAGCATCTACCAAAGCGGCATGAAATTTGCAATATCGGAGAAAAACGGTGAAAACTCGAAGAAAAACCAGAATTTCTCGATTGGGAGCGAATTTGTGATGATCTGAAAGGAATGGCATACAATTTTCATTGAAAATCTCTCACCAAATCAATCGTATTAATAAGTTGAGCCAAAAATTGTACAACAGTTGCTATATGGAAGATAAACTCTCGTCGATTCCCAACTTTTTTCATTTCTTTTGAATAACTGTATAATTTGATGCAAGTATAGATATTGACAAAGAGACAAAAACAAACAATTCCAACACATAATGGGAAATTGAACTCTTTCAAGAAAGCCTAAAAGATGATTGGAGAAGATTGGAGAAGATTGAATGAAATTACCGTAAACAGATTAGTCGGCTCATCATACGGTATGTAAAATCCCCAACTTCCGCGTTGAAAATAACTATGATTTGTGACATAAGATGAAGTGTAGAAAAAAGGGAAAAGGAAACCGAGAAAACAAGTACGCCAAGTGTTACGACTCCAGAACTAAAAGACAACTTGTAGAGGATACTTGCCGTCACTCACTTTATCATAATGATGAGGAAAAGCAAGTGATGTGGCTCGATTGATTGCAATCAGAAGAGTACCGATCACTTGTAATTGAACACATAAACCATTTAAATATCCTAAAGCGCTTGGGAAGAAGCCTGTCTGAAAATTGTTTGTGTTAAAATATGAAATCCTTTAAAACAAACCCTTAGAAACCAATACCATTCATGAACACCCCATGTTGGAAGACGAATTCGAAAGAGAATCACATAATGGAGGATTAAATCCTGAATGAAAATTGAGTCAAAGAATTGTATATTGTTGTATGATTATTATGATTATTCTTTTTCTTTTTCTTATTGTTATACTCCTTTGTTTTGTGAGTAAAAGCATCTACCAAAGCGGCATGAAACTTGTGACAAAATTTGACTCTTCTCAAAACTGACATTTGTCGTGCAGAGTAAGAAAATCTTTTGATAATGCGTTTTGATTCCATATTTCAAATAAAATAAAAGTAAACGAAAATAGACTAAAACGGTGATGAAACCAATAATTGAACATATTGTGCTTGATGTTATTTCGAAGGGATCAACGAAATGATCGATGAAATCATCTGGTTGAGTCCAGGGATTCCCATTTGAATCCAATCCAAGAATGCTTTCATTCGACATTTCCTGGAAAATATTCTTATTTAGAGTTACAGTGGTCCACAAATGTATTTGTCCCATTGCCATCCAAAAGTTTCTTTCGTACGAAAATCTTGCAAAACAACGATATTCCCAAAAAGTGTAGGGGTATTTTGCTTACCCTTTGTTGTTTTTACTTATTGTTTTTGTTTTATACTTTAATTTTTCTGCAATGTATACGGATAAATCTTATAATCCTGAAAAGTAGAGTATTATGGGCAAGCAAAATACCCTACACTTTTTGGGAATATCGTTGTTTTGCAAGATTTTCGTAGGAAAGAAACTTTTGGATGGCAATGGGACACAAATGTACATTTGTGGACCACTGTAGGTATTTAGAAAATCAGAATACAACAATATCCATTTAAATAAAAAATCAGAATACAACAATATCCATTTAAATAAAAAATTTGAAAACTTTTATGATATGAGTTTTTCTGGAGGGATTTGCAATGGACGTTTGTTCAAATTTACAATGGACTGTTTAACTAATCTTAAAACTAATCAAAATGTTCATTGCCTGCAAGATTATGATTCGGATTGTAGGCAAATGAATTGAAATTTTACAAAAGTTGAAAAATTCAATCATTCTATTGAGTGAAGCTCTTGTGATTTATTTAAATTAGAGCAATAACAATTAGATGTACTCAGCTATGATATTTCGGAGAATAATTTAATAATATGATATTTCGGAGAATAATTTCAGGGTCAAACGTGCCAATTATCAATTTATAACTACATAGGTATCTCAATTAGCATTTTGGATATTTGTAAACTCGAAAATGGCTCAAATCTTGGTTCAACTTTTGTATTTTATGAAATTTTCTTTTCTTTCTTGAGACCAAAAAAACATCTCCAAAATCTCAAGGGATCGACAAAATGGGGGGATTTTTGAGGGGAAACATCTCAATTCGTTATTAGGGTAGAAAATGAGTGATTTGTGAAGATTTCTGAGAATGGAAATCATTGATGAATCGGAAGATGTTGAGGAAGTCACAGAATAGAACAAGACAACGGATTTGTACTTCAAGTTTTTGGATTGTCAAATAGCAGTTTCAATCAAGACCTCAAAGAAACCTTTTTTTGAGTGAAAATTTGGTAAAGTATACTTGTAGAATATGAAAATGAAGGTGAGAAAGGAAAGCAGTCAAGCCGATTTCAAAGAGGAATGAATATGGAAGTAGAAAGTTCATGGTTTAAAGAATGATTCAAAGTCTGAGAATGGTATCGGTTTTAATATACGAGAAAGATATCAAAGTTTTCCAGATAAACTCTTCAACAAGACTTTTTCAACAACAAACAACAACAATTGATTCTTTTCAGAATTGAATTTTTAACCCATCAGAGCTTTTTTTTTAAAGAACAATCACATTTCATGACTCCATTCTATGCAAATAGCTGAATTTTGACCTGGGCATGATGTAATTTGATCTTCTAAAAGGAAAGAACGTCTTTTGTTTCGACCTTAGGAGGAAAACAAATGGATTTTTAAGTGATGGATACTGTATTCTTTTCGATTTCTAATATCAGCAATTGTATCAAACGTAACCTTGAAGAACTATGAACTCATTTTTGTCTATATCATTCATCTTTACTGCTCAATTAGAAACAGTAAGCACAGTCAAAGATGAAGCTACGATAGTCATTTTCATTATTTCATTCATTCATTGTTTTCAAGTCGGTACGATAAAGCTTATGTGAATCATCTCATCACCATTCTCTCTATTCAATTTACCCATTTTCCATCTCAGTTCAAATTTTTGCCATAAATTTCCCCCAAACTCTTTCCAAAGTGTCGTTGAAAGGGCAAAAAGAAGAGAAACCTGTACAGAACTTGTCTTCTTTTTTTTCTGTTTGTTTTTTCTTCTTTATCTTTCTCTCAATCTCTCATTTTTCTCAAATATTTCTTTTTGAATCGGTAAATTTCTTTTTTTTTCTCTTCTTACCTTTTCTCTGTCATTTTCCGTATTGAATTTTGTCTTTTCACTCTTTTTGAACTGTACTTTGTAGTGGCTTTTCCCTTTTTTTCCTAAAAATCATTCTGGAAATTGATTGATTGATTGAAGAGATTCTTAAATGTCAAATGAAGTTTTCTTTCTTTCTTTCTTTCTTTCTGAACAATAATAAAACTCAAAAAGCTTAAGAAGAAGCCATTAAAGCTTATCTCTCTATAATTTTTACCAAATTTCTTTATCATTTTTAAATTGGAAACTCTGCAGAATGTCTTTTCTATATCTATCAAATCGATAGGTCAACAACCTGAAATTTGAGCCTGGCTTTAAGAAATTTAGCTTAACCTTGAATTTTATTCATTTTTGATCATGACTGACTAAACATAACAATCTAAAAACCTTCCAAACCCAATTCTCCCCTCTGAACATCAATAAACTCTTCTTCAATTTTTCCCCTAATTCATCTCAAAAAAATTTTCTGCTTTTCTTTCAATTTTCACATCTGTATTGGGTAAAAAGCTTTTACCGAACATTTCGAGAATCAAAATATTGTTAGTATTTATGTTATAAACTATTTTCTTTTTTTTTCTGTTCTCTTCAACACCTTTTTTCACTTTTGTTTTCACAAAGAGGCAACCATAGCTACGAGACAGAAACCAAAAGACTATTACGAAATGTTAATTGTTTTGAAAGCTAGTTTTAATTATTTCTACTGAAAAACAAATAACTTTTCCTTTTGTAATCAATTTTCAGAATGAAAACCTCATCATTTTAAATGACAGACGAAATCGAACAAAGAGAAGAGGTGCCGAAGTCTCGAAAGAGAACGGGCAAGAATCAACCGGTCCAAGGTGAATTTCCAAGGGACAACTCTTTGTCCATTGTCCAAGGGACAACTCTTTGGTCAACCTTACTCAAAATGGTAAACACACTCTTTCTGACACACTAGGCTCTTCGTTTTCTATCATCGAAGGTTTTAAAACACTAGAAAGGATGTGTTTCTTTGAGTACAAAGAACATGAAGAGCTTGAAGGTTTCATAGCATAAGTCATTAGAATAATCTTCAAACCCAACATGCCAAAATGCCAATGTCGCTTATGATCTTTCGAATAGAATCAACTCTTGTTTGCCCATCAAAAAAGGGCGGTCATATCGATGACAAATCGCCTCTTTCCACAACTTTCTCACCTTGTCCATTTCAATGATAAGGGCCCCGTTTGCAATTTTTTTATTCAACTATGCAAAAAGATTTTGAATACTTTTGGAATCTCATCAAATCACTTTTACCCAATAAATTTCTTGATCTTTCATATCACGCGAAGCCAAAAGGTAACTCGAATGAAATCTCTATTTAAATATATTGGGTTGATGAATTTGGTGACACCAAAATGGGTTTCTTTTGAAGAACGTGCTCAAACTGTCACATATGACAATAGCCCGCAGTTTTCAATTCACTAACCTAATATTTAGATTCAAAATGGCGACAACAGAAACTGGCTGCCTATCGACCGGTCTTTAATGCGACTTCGGTAATTTCTGAGAGAATTTCAAGATCTACATTGTATTGAAGGTTTTCCCATGGACAACGATTCTCGGGGCGATCTTTCTCGGCATTGGGATACTGCTTTTTGTCACGAATTTAAATGGTGTGTGATTAAAATAGCCAAAAACTTTAACCCAATTCTAGCAAAAGAGATCGTGATCGATTACACGAATTGTCGAAATCCGAATGGATCCGATGTGAATGAGTTCATTGAATCAAATGACGGAGCATTCATCTCACTTATTGAAAGGACCGAGCACGAAGGAGAAACAACGCTTAATTGCCAATTTCGCATTAATCTCACTGAGGATTATTTTGTGAGTGTAAAAATTGTTGAAACTTTATTGAATACTCTTAGGGTAATGTCAAAATCTACTATGGTCTTCGTAATTTCTATCAAAACACTCGAGGTTATGTGAAATCGAGAAGTGATATTCAGGTATTCTTCTATAATCTATTTTTTATCAATTCAGACTGTTTTACAATTTCGTTTTTGTAAATTCAGTTGGCAGCAGCGAGTCCGAGTGATTTATTGAATACGGGTGATTGTGGATCTGATGACAGCAAGGATACAATTGAAAGAGATGGAGAAAATAAGACTCTCGTCATTGCACCTTGTGGGAAAATTGCTTTCTCGATGTTCAACGGTTGGAGCTGGAAAGATTCATTGTTAAACTTTACAAAGCAAGATTTCAGATACATTCAAGTTGACATACAAGGATATAATTGAAGTCCCATTGACCACACGAGGAATGGTTCATGAAACGGATATGGCCAAAAAATTCAAGAATCCACCATTGCCCGCTGGAAGCTCAAATCTCTGTGACGCGTTTGCGGTGAGATCGAAATTTTGATAAGATATTTAGCGTGAAAATCTGGATCTAATGCCACAGATAAGCTACTAAACTAAAAGAAGAAGCTTCTCGTTTTTCTTTTCTTCTTTTTCTTACTTTCAAAAGCTATCAACGATTGGCTCTCTTTCAGAACACGACAAAGCCGAAATCATGGCCTGCGCCGATTTGTGAGATTTTCAGCAAATCCGAAGCTGGACAGGGATTTGCAAATAAAGATTTTCAAGTGAGTTCTTGAATATAAAACTTTAGAGTTTTTAAATTTTAGGTCTGGATGGAACCGGCTGCTTTACCTCATTTCCGCAAGATTTATCGCCTTCTCGATCGAGAGGTTTGTCAATCAAAGTTTCCCATAAGATACAGCAATCAAAAGAAAACTATTGTAATCTGTTCCTATTCGTTTAGAGTTTTATGAATGAGACAGAAGTGGAGGTAAATAGAAGCTATTCATCCCTTTGTATATCAAAAAAATCCCGATGTTCAAAGAATTCCCCTACCGTAAATACTGTAATAGTACCCCACCCCCTCGTACAGTCACGTAGTCGCAAAAGTTTTTTCATCATTTCATTTTTTTCAAAGCACCCATACTTTCAAAAAATGCGTCTTTGGTATCAAAAAATAGCTGAAATTCAGGGCTATTTTTTGATACTTAAGCGCGCATTGTAGCATAAACCAGTGTCGAGAAAAACTCGTTCAAGCTAGCTAGACTACGCAACACTCCGCACCGTCATTATGGGGGTGAGGTACTATTACAGTATTTACGGTATGTGATCAGAGCTTTACAAAGAAAGATTCAGAGATAAATCTTTTCAGGCTGATATCTTTTCGAAGGGATTACCAAAGGGAGAGTACACTTTGACGATCACCTACAGTGAGTTTAAATGGAAAAGACTGTAAAAACAATGTTTTCTAGATTACCCAGTAGAGCCTGGCGAGTTGAATATCAACAAAACATTCATCATTGCAATTGAGACATGGGCTGGACCAAAGAACTTGTTTTTACCAATAGGTAAGCCTAAAAGCAGTGAAGCTCGCAAGAATCAGTTTATGGAAAAATGGCTCAACAATACCAGTAAACTTTAGCCTATATAATTGTCGGTGGAGTTCATTTGTTCATCAGTGCCGCTCTCTTCGGCCTCTATATCCGAATGAGATACAAATCGGATTAATCACAAATTTTTCAAGTTTTACCTGATTTATCCCAGATGTAGATTGCCCATTTTGCCCAATTTGTACTTTTTTGTATCTTCACTTACCCAATCATCCAATCTCAATTCAGAATCGCGGGTATCATTTTGTGTTGTTTACCTTTAGCCTAGTCATTCATTGAGTGTGATTACTGCCCGGTAAAGTTGCTGAAATTTATTTTATTAAATGCAATAAAATTATTGGTAAAACAGATCAATAAATATATCTATTAGGCTGTCCAGAAAGCTTTTTCGTCCCTTTTCCTTTCCGTTTAAAACCAACAAATGCACCAATTGAACTACGGTTTGTTTCATTAGAAAGGTCAATTATTTTTCTGTAAAATAACATTAAAACGGGTTTAAATGTCTTATGTCTGGTTTTTTTTGGGAGCGGGAAGTCGAGTAGTCGAAAAGGGCGACGGCTCGATGACGCGATTTAGGCCTTATTTTTCAACAGAAGTATGAAAAAGAACGAAAAGACTTTCTGGACAACTTAATAGTTAAGTAGGGAAGTAGGGAAGTTTGTGAGCAAGAATTGCACCGGCAAAATTCACACAAAATGAGATTACCCTTTTTGAGTACGTTAAGTGAGCAAAAGTGTAAAACGGATAACTGCTGGGGAATAATATAAGCTCGTTAAAGGTTATTGTTCTAAAATGGATACATAGAAGGTGAGAATCGGAGGTGAAATTGAATGAAGTATGGATGTTTTAGTTTATAGGCTATATTACTTTTCACATCTTTCCTTTTCTCAGCAATCGACCAACTTTCGAGTCATCAGAAAGGATACTTCGGATCAAGAAAACCTGAAAATTTTGTTTTATCAGCTTGTATATAATTTGAGCCACAAGTTGATCTTAATTTTCACTTACCTGTACGAAACATGCAGTCAACATCACCAATGTGTTCACCGTTCCCCAGAAGTTGATGTTCTCGAAATTCGTCTCCGCCAACGTCCTATCAATACTAGCATTTTGCAGCTTGATCTTTATCTACCTATCAATGTATTCGATGTGTTGCAATGCCTGTTGGATACTCTCAATTTGACTCAAATGAGTTTTGATTTTCCCTGTAGCCATCTAAATTCCTTGCTTTGCAGTTGTTATGTTCACCTTTTACCTCAAAGAAATCTAGTCGAGCTTCCAAATGTGCAGCCGAAACTTGTTCCAATTCGTTGAGATCACTCATAAAATTTCCATCTTTGTCCATCACATAGACGTGTAGTGCCACCTAGCAGAAACAAAATAGTTATGGTTTTGTTCTGAAATTGTACAATTTTGTTTGCAGTTGTGCTGATCTTGTTGTCAAAACACATCACGTAATCACCAATCGGGCTTTTTGATAGATCGACTCTGAAAGTGGAGATTTCGCAACAATATATCCATCATGCTTTTTACAAATTTGCATTTAAAGCACAAGTACCGTGTCCTTTTAATTATTTCTGTCTTTTTTCACTTACGTATGCCTTCCATGCATTTTTGCTGTTTCATCAGCCAGCAATTGTTGAGACGGGCTTCTCAGTGTAAACGAAATATCCAATCCACTACCACCTTTTAGAACCTAGATATACTTTTTGAGACTCTGGGGTTTTAGTTATATAATAAGAGTATTGTCCAGGCAGTAAACTGACAATCCAGTTGACTTCCATCGATCCTGCTTTCGGATTCGTGATCGTGTGCCAAAAACATTCGACTTTCCCCGGATCCACTCTCACCGTGATTCCAACCTATTGGTAATTTTTGAATTGACGTTATTCATTCTTCCATTTAACAGGTAAGGCGCTACTAAAGTCACAACCATTAAGCAAATTTACCTCATCCTCGGAAATAATAGCATTTCCAATCGTGAAAAATATGGCTGTTAGAGTAACAAGCCTCATCTAACTGAAACTCCTTAATACAGCGTATTCAATAATTAAATGAAAATATTTTAGATATGGATCTTCCAAAAATGAAGTTGTTTTGTCTCGAGATGGAAAGAAAATAATTTATCACCCCTAAAATATAATAATTATGCAAAGTAACACATTCAGAATAATATGCGAAACCCATAAAGAAAAACCGATGACTAAATCAATAATAAAGACATATCACAGAGAATGAAAGAGGCGGAAAAAGAAACAAAATTAACAACAACCTGATGGAAACATAACACAATTAATCAATCTTGATGTGTGCCTTTTCGAAGAAACTGGCCGATTTTTGAGTTCTCTTCGAAGAGGCTTCGAATCATATAGACCTAAATTATCCAACATTAAGCATCCATGCTAACCATTGTGCTTGACCGATAACAAACTAACCTGGATACCAGCTACAAACATTAACACCAGAGCGTTCAAAATCGACCAAAACGTGACGCGATCCAGATTTGCATTCATGATTGCTCGATCTCTAGCTTCATGGGCTCTAAATTTTTGTTTCTTTAACCATAAACCTAATTTAATATACCTTAAAACGGCTTGATGGTATTCCACCTTGTTGAAATTGTTCTTGATCCTCGTAGCAGAACTCTAAACAAAACAGCAAACATTAAAACTTGATTTTCAGAACTCACTTGAAAAACTTCGACAGTCACTCCAAGGTCCTCCATACGTTTCTTTAAATTAGCATCCTAAAAAGACATTTTTGATATCTGAACTTTTAGTTATTACCTGGAGTCCTGCCCTAGCATAGTCAAAGTCGTCCAAATTCCCAGCGGCATCATAAAGAAAGATTTCGAAGAAAACAACCTAAAAGAAAAATAAAAATTTAACCAGAAAAACAACAAACCTTTCGTGCCTGATAGCTGAATGCATTGTCGAAACAAAATTGATAATCTCCAGGTTGTTTAACTTCGATTCTGAATTTAAATAGATACAAAATTTTTTGAAAACTTACTTGTGGCTTCCATCGGTTTTCATATTTTCTTGAACAAGAACTTCGGCACCGAGTAACACCATGAAATTAATATTGAGGTCGCCTCCATCGATCACCTAAAAATATCAAATATGTATATATATTGAAATGCAATGATTGAACTAAATTAAGCATCCGTCGAAAAGGAAAACGTCAATTTGCATGCCTAGCTGGCGTATATCGATAACGACCCGCGTCTTGTAGTTTTAGGAAAGCGGCGTTTTAGCGTAAAACGAACGTTATCAGTCAAATCCAAACCACAGAAAAACCGCCTGAAAGGCACGCCATCAGCTATGAGAATGCATTACATAGCTAGGCTTATTTAAAGACAGGCTGATAAACCGTACCTGATAATCCACTTCTATCGATTTGTACTTCGAGTCAGTGACCGCTTGAAAGTAGCATTGAAACTTCCCGGGAGGCACCTCAACGGTGAAGTCATATTCTCCGCATATTGTTAGAGCCACCAACAAGAAGAGCAACAACAATGCTCTCATCGAATCTAAAAGATAAAATTCGAGTTTAAGCGCCGTACAGAGAGAAAGATTTAAAAAGAAAATTCTATAAAATTTATGCGTTTCTCCAACGAGGGCAAATAGTTGCAACTTCTTGGCACGCTATATCGTGGCAACTCATTTGGCAGACAGCCAGTTACGGTAGAATCCACCACAAATTTTCCGTCTTTCTTTCATTTCTCATAAATATCTTTGTATAATGCGATGTTTCTTGTTGTTTTTTCAATCTAGTCCTTCTTTGTTTGTGTTTTAGAAGCACGCCTTTACACCCAGCTCTTTGCATTTACACCCAGTAGCCTCTCTAGTACTACTTTAGTATCGGGGATTTTGGCAAATTTGTGTCACTGAAAAATGCGAATTTTTGGAATTTTGAAATCTTATTAGAGTTAGAAAGTCACACAATATTTTAATCTAATCCCTAGCCCCATCACATTTTCATTTTTTCCCTGCGCAACTTTCGATTTGGTTTATCATTTCTTAACTCTTAATTTCAGGTAAAATGCCACCAAAGACGGCCAAAAAAGCGGACCCGAAGGGTGGAAAAGCGCCAAAGAAGAAAGAAGGCGGAGGAGGTGGAAAAGCGAAGAAGAAGAAGTGGTCGAAGGGAAAAGTCAGAGATAAACTCAACAACATGGTGCTTTTCGATCAAGCGACCTACGACAAACTCTACAAAGAGGTATATTTGTTTTACTTAATATAGGTTAGATATTTAAGTCGAGCCAGCAAGTTTTTCATGTCATAACAAATCTGCCAGTAGTTAAAGAGGTAGCATTGGTAACAAGTACATGGCTCTATGAGATACATCTAAGAAGGAAATTTGCTAATGAGAATAAGACATTCATTGATAATATGCTGATAGCAACCAGAGCTTCATTGATTACTAGGTATACACTTCACTATCCTATCTCATTAACCGAATTACCTGAAATAGTAACATACTTGATTGTTTGTTTTAGATCACGACCTCCAAGCTAATCACCCCTTCAACTGTTTCCGAACGATTGAAAGTCCGCGCCTCGCTCGCAAAAGCTGGACTCCGGGAGCTGCAAGCGAAAGGACTAATTAAATGCGTCGTCAAACACGGATCCCAATTAGTTTTCACCAGAGCGACAAAGGCGGATGACCCAGCAATTGTTGAATAATGTTATTTTTCTAAAATAAATTTTATTTTTTTGGCGCAATATGTCTTTTTCTCGGTTAAATATACACTCGTATTTGTGTCAGCGAGATTTCGTTCTTGCAGTTACATCATGCACTCGACTTTTTGTGTAAGTTGGTATTTGAGTACCAAAGCTTTGTTTTCACGTTAGCGATGCAAAACCGCAATTTTGAGCTCGTAGCAATTACGGGAATTCTGAACCTCCGTTTTCCTATAGACGATTTTTCTTTGCGCGCTGTGAGCTCTGCTCATCAGCTGTAGGCGAATGAAATTTCGCAAGTTGGACCAGTAAACCTAACGCGGCGTTGCTAGATTTGGGTTGAAGTTTCTGGGTTTTGAAATTTGATTTACGTTTTTTGATCACCCGGTTCAAAAGCTTGCATTCTATAGTAACCATTGGTTCAGATGTCAAAGCGCTTCGAAAAATCGTTAAGCCTTGCGACTGATTCGAACGTATTGGAAACCGACTGGGATGCCGTACTCGATTGTGTTGATCAAATACGAGGGGGAGAAGCAAAGTGAATTTTTTACATAGACATTTAATTCATCTGCCTAGGGCTCCGGAAGCAATGGTTCTTGTGCTTTCCCGCTTAAAGAGTGAAAATCCTCATGTTGTTCTTCATGCACTTATTCTTTTGGAAGCAATGGTAAAGAACTGCGGAAAAAAGGTTGGCATTCAATTTGTAAGCTTGCATTTGCATGTCTAGGTTCACAATGAGCTTGCAACTCGCGAATTTATGGAGGGAATCAAAGAACTGGCTATTGAAGCAAAAGCAGAAACAGTCAAAACGAAAGTTCTCGAATTACTACAGTGCTGGGCGATGGCTTTTGCGAACAAAGCGGAATACAAAATAATCGTCGACACCCACAACTTGATGAAATTGGCTGGTTTTGATTTCCCGTCAGTTAAAGGTGGATTAAAGAATTTTTGTAAGTTAAGAGTTGTTTTCTAGAAGCAGCTGCGATGTTTGCTTCACAAGTGGCTCCAGAATGGGAAGAAGGAGCAAACTGTTATAGGTATGCACTATCAATGTTTTTGATCTTGCTGGTTTTCAGGTGTCGTTCCGAATTCACCTTTCTTACGCGGAAACATCACTGTCGCGCTTGTGGTCAAATCTTCTGCCATGGATGTAGCAGCAAAGAAATGTTGTTGCCACAATTCGGAATTGAAAAACCTGTGAGTTTGCTGACAATTTGCTCTTTTCTTCTAAATTGGGCATTTATATGCTTGTTCTACGAATTTTAGGTGCGTGTTTGTGATGCCTGCTACGAGAAGGGAGTTGGTGTTGCCCTTAGCAAACAATCAGCAACTCCAGCTCGGCCTAAGGTAATTGATTTTTTTGTTTGCATTTTGTGTTTGTGTGAATGCTTGTACTTGTCTGCAGTTTTCTTCATCCGCCGATGAATCAAGTGTTGTCGATCAATTTGGCGCCTTCTACGGGGACGATGACTCAATAACGACACTAAACGCACTTGCACAAAATAACCCGAATCGATTGTATGCTATTGGAAACCCACGTGCAGTTGCAAACCGTCAAAAGCAAGCAGAAAAGCCAGAAGGATTATTCAAGTCGCTTTTCAAAGGAGTTTTGGGAAATAAAAAGAGACCGGTAAGGTTTTCGCATCATTTCTTGATTTCATTTCTCCTCTCCCTCCTCGTCATATGGTAATATTGCTGCATGAGCTAGTAACCTTTGTTTGTCTTGACCTAGGTGTGTGAATCTAACCAACTGGCCTTAAAAAATTTAACGAATGGTCAAATTAGTATTCTCAACTCTTTTTTTCTAGGAATCTTCGTACAACCCTGCTGCAACCGATCCTGGAGCTGAAGAGCGGGTAATGTTTGTTAGTTTTCCAAAAATAATGTATTATTAGGAACGACAAGCAAGACTCGCGAGGGAAAAAGAAGAAGAGGACTATCAACTTAGTCTGGCCATGGCTATCTCTCAAAGCGAAGCGGAAGCAAAAGTAATATATTATACTTTTTTTAATAAGCAACAATGTGTAGCTTCAATTTTGCTTTTAGGAAAAAGAAAGGGCAAATTCACTTTACTCGTTTTACAATGGCGTGAAAGATCAAGTTAGCAGTCACGTGTCATCGCCCATGAACGATACCATGTCGATTGCTCCTTCGGAACACATCGGTGTTTATAAAGGAGCCGCTGATAGTGTTCGAGGTAACTTTTCTTGGTTTGTAAAAGAAATGTACCGAGATTTTAGAATCGCCTTCTGAGAATTCATTGAATGCTGATGATCCTCTTGCACGTTATCTTAACCGCGATTATTGGCAGCAACGAAAAGAAAAAGCAAACGCAAAAGTCGAAAGTTGGGACGTCAATCCATCAGCGCCATTGCCAAGCGAACCTTCTTTGGGAGGAAGCAGCTACGTTCCTACTGTGCGTGGAAGTCCCCCTCCAAACAATCAAAAAGAACTGGGTATGTAACACGTTGTTTTCAGATACATGCTATGTAGGTTAGGCTCTCTAATATGTTCAATTTTAGTCTATTCGACTGGTCTTTCTTCCCTTGATGAGGAGACTCTCCAAAAAAGTGAAGATACCAAGAAATTTTGTGCTGATGTCAATGAACAGGTATTTTTGTATCATAATATTTATTACTGACAAGCGTTTAACGACGAGTTCCATCCTCGAAGAAAACACCACCATCAAGAGCGCAATACTTAGGACAGATTCCACGCTCTCCCTCGATGCCAGAGTTGCCGTCATTTCCTTTGGATCCAGGGGTTCCATCATTTCCGGGCTTTCCAGGGGCGCCATCGGGTCCCTTGGGTCCAGGCTCTCCCCATTTTCCTGGACGTCCAGGGTTTCCGGATAGTCCATGGGGTCCTTGGGGTCCGTCTTTTCCGGGTTCTCCAGCTGGTCCAGGTTGGGGTCCCTTACTCTCCGCATCAGGTCCATGAGGTCCCGGCTGTCCAGATTGTCCAGGACGACCAGGATGCCCGGGCTGTCCTTTGGAACCTCCTTGACCGGGCTCTCCATCGGGTCCTTTGGGTCCAGGAGGTCCATGGGGTCCTGGGTAACCATCTGTTCCGGGTGGACCTTGGGGTCCGGGCTCTCCAGCTGGACACGGCTCACATGGTGGTGGGGTGACTGGCTCGCACATGTTGGATGGAGCACGACCAGGGTTTCCAGGCATTCCAGCGGATCCGCTACGTCCAGGGCGACCATGTTTTCCTGGAGCTCCTTGTGGTCCAGCGGGTCCGGGCAAACAGCATCCTTGGCATTGGGAGGCTTGACGAGCAACCCTGGTCCTGTTGTTCACCAATGGCTCGGCACCCATATGATAAACCTAAAATTCGCTAATTCGCTAATCAACATCCCTTTTAAAAGTCTTAAATTATGGATAGCTTAAACCACCTCATTCCAGGTATCCTTGACTTGAACACGGCACTTTTCCATCTCAACTCCAACTTGCTTGCGCATGTGAGACACGTAGTTGTACATCTAATTGTCCATGAATTAATAATACTCCTATAAAGATTAGTTACCATGGGCATTGTAATGCAGATGGAAAGCACAGCGACGGTAGAGAATCCGATGGCAGCATAGCCAACGAAGCGATACGCCTTAATCTTGGTGTCAATCTCCATGATTATGGTGGAACCTCGGTGGTGATGTGGGCGCATTAGTGAGCCTTTTATATGCTTGGCGGGAGTGGGGCTGGCATTTGACCTTGTATTTTTTAGAAAGTCTCCGCTTATCCCCTAGAGTTTTTTGGGGCCGGTTTTTCCACTTTCTGTCAAGTATCTTCTTATCTTTTTAGGTACCCGCTTTTTCAACCCCTATTTTTGCCGTTTTTTATAGCGCTGCCAGCCGGGACAGAGCGACCTTGATTTTTTTCCTTCAAGCAAAGTGTTCTGGGGTGTTGGGTAGCTAGTTTTTGGCAAAAAGTAAAAGTTCATTAGGTCCACCAATTACAAAAATTCATTAGAGCATGCATTAAGAGGACGCATAAGGATAACGATTTGTCATAAAATTGAATCAAAAATAAAAATCAATTTCAAGCGAAAGCTTATTCACAATTTAAGGGTATATTCTCAATCCAAGCTCTTTAGGTAGAATCGATGGAAAACAGAATTCGATCGAATATGGCTCGTGGTCGACCAATTTACAACGACACGGCTATTCAGGTAGCTAACATCAATGTTTCTATTCTTTACGCAAAATAGGGAATCTACATGCGTCTCACTGAGCTTCACTCACAAGTCATGCAACGACTGAATGACTTGGAACAACAAAGAGGTGAGAAGCTTGACACTTTACCGGTAACTTGTGTATTTCCTTTAGTTTATTTTGAGTCTTTGCAAGATCAACTCGGTCACATTACGGAAGCTCGTGCGGCCGTTAACTCTTTGCGGTAGGTTTATGCTGAATTCTAAAATAATTTGTAACTCTTTTCCTGTTCACTGTGTTTACTAGCACTTGTGAAGTAAAAAAGAGTAAAATAATCATTGGGGTTCTTGTAATCTGATTTAGCATTCTATCTCAGTTAAAGCCGAGCTCATACAGCCTTAGATTAAACATATATTCGTTAAATCATTTATATTGACAAAAGTTTTTTAGGGAGGAAGAAGCTAGAAAAAGAGCGGAAATCGCAGCGGAAGAACAACGCGTTCGTCAGCTGCAAATGCAGCATAAATTGGCTGCGATGCGACAACAAAAACATGTAAGTTGCGTCTATTGCTAATTAGTTTTTAGATTACAATTTAGGATATGCTATTGTATCAGCGACAAGTTGCCATTCAACGTTTTCAACAACAGGAGGCTGAAATGGCTGCTCGCCGTTCACAGCAATTCTACTCACCAGCTAGCTACACTTCTCCACAAGGTATGGAAGGTGAAATAAAAGGATTTATTTTCTAATCCTACATTTTAGTGCAACAATATCCGTACAGCCAAATACCGATGCAGCAATACCCAAATCAAACTCTGAATCAAACATATGGTGTTTATCAGCAGACGACTCCACAAATGCAACCGAATTTGCAACAACAACCACAGCAACCATATCCTGGACAGCAAGTTAACGGAACTGGGAATTATCCCCTTGTTCATCAAAACCCGAACGGATATTCGGATGGTGGTCAGGTTTGGTTTTGCAAATTTGCTCTTCTATCGACATTTTTTAGATACAACATGGTGCTTACTTGCCTCATGCCACTCAATCGGCAAATAATGTACATCAAGTGGTTGCGAATGACGCTATTCAACAAGGATATCAACAATCCGTTCATAATTCCCAGCAACAATATCAAGTAAAATGTTTTCGCGTACTTAAATGTAGAAAATCTTTAGCCGTCTCAAGCATACGATCCCGCCGCAAACAATTCTCAATATAACGTTGCAACCACTGCACCTTCAACAAATCAATATTATCAACAACACAATTATCAGGTTAGGCGTTGATATGTGATAATCCTCATTTAAAATTTAGGCGCCAGTGAACAATGTAGCTCAACATCATTATCAGGAAGGCGTGCTTGTGCCCAACGCTCCCGTTCAGCAAGTGCCCGCTAACTATCGTATGCCATATTTATTAGTTTTTCTAAAGCGTTTTTTTCAGTTCCTCAGGCAAACGTTCAGCCTTCAGATCCAAACGCAGCTCAAGAAGGATTACTCATTTCTTTTGACTAAGAATTAGCAGTTTTACTATTTTATGATGCTTCTTTTTATTCTTTTCAAAGCCTTTTCATTTGTTCTGTACATATTATATGGCTTTTTGCAGTTATGATTCATCGTGAAAATTTCCTTGTGATAAAAATGATTCCGGATAGGAAGCTTAATTTTTTTGATGGGTGGTGATTGGTCGATTTTATTTATTTTCTGCAAATAAATGCGAAATAAATTATTGCCAAGTATGATTTTGTGTTCTTTGGTAGGTAATGTGCCTTTCAGCTTACTTGGATGAATTTACAACTTTATTCCTGAGTTTATTAGTACGAATGTGCAAAATGATATCAAAACTTTTAACGTCTGGTGGTTCCATCCTCGAAGAAAACGCCGCCATCGAGAGCACAATATTTTGGACAAAGTCCCTTTTCGCCCTCGACTCCGGCCTGTCCGTCACATCCGGGTTTTCCATTTTGTCCGTCCTCTCCGGGTCTTCCAGGAGCTCCGTCAGGTCCTTTGGATCCTGGTTGTCCATCTTGCCCATCAGTTCCATCGGCTCCCGGCTCGCCAGGTGGTCCCTCCAAGCCGTCTTCGCCAGGTTGTCCAGGGGCTCCTGGCTGTGGTTCTCGATTTTGTCCATCATGGCCATTTGGACCAGGTGATCCAGGCTCTCCGGGGTGGCCAGGTTGTCCACGACCTCCCTTTGGTCCAGCATCTCCGGGTTCTCCATCAGGACCAGAGGGTCCCGCTGGTCCGTTAGGTCCGTCGTCACCGGAAATTCCTGGGGGTCCTTGGGGTCCGGGCCCTCCAGCTGGGCAGGGCTCACATGGTGGTGGAGTCATTGGTTCGCACATGTTGGTTGGTGCACGACCAGGGTTGCCAGGCATTCCAGGAGTTCCGGAACGTCCTGGGCGTCCGTGTTTTCCGGGCGCTCCTTGTGGCCCAGCAGCTCCGGGAAGACAGCAATCGTCACACTTGGATGCTTGACGGGCCACCCTTGTGTGATTTGCAACGAGAACCTCTGATCCCATATGATACACCTTAATGAAAAATGAAAATAGCTTAACGACCACATTCTAACCTCATTCCAAGTGTCTTTGATTTGTGACTTGCATTTCTCCATTTCTAGTCCGGTTTGTTGGCGAATAGCTGACATGTAGTGATATACCTATTAATTTATTTAATGATTAGGTTTAGATAAGCACTTTACCATCGGAAGCGTGATCACGATCGAAACCACAGCAACCGTCGAGAAACACACCGCTGCATAGCCGACGAAACGGTAGGCTTTGATTTTCGTCTCTATTTCCATCCTCGGAATGAATATGGGGGACTCCTTGATAACTCGGATGGCAAGCCTTTTATGTACATTTTTGGGTGGCAGAGACAAATTCCAGAGAGTCTTTCCTCTTTTGCGCGCCATCTCTTTCCTTTCTTTTATCATGTCACTCCGAGGATCACCCCGCGCGATATCCTCTTTTTCTGATCGGAACCAACTTTCGTTTTTCAAGCCGAAAAAACTTTCTCTCTCAAAAAATGAAAACAGTTGGTGGGCCACTCAAACTTTGTTGTTCAAGTAAAAGTAGCTGAGATTTTCGGTTTAAAAGTTGTTGATTAAATAGAATAATTTCTTAGCTTCTAGGAAACGCGAAGTCAGAATAAATGGCCAAATCTGAATGCTAATGCTAGCTTCATTTCAAACAAAAATGTCATTAAAAACCTTAGATTAGCATTATAATTGTTTTTTCTGGGGCTTTTAGAGCTTAATTAGTGGGCCGACTCTCTTAATCCCCTTTCCTGTGCCCGTTAACTTTGTAGAGCGGAGTGGCCATTTTTTGACAATTACACTTGCATACTGGGCAATACTCTAGTGCTTTCGAAGTGCTTAAAGCCGTCGGTTAGGCTCAGCTTAATGCTACAAAATAGTTTTTGAACGTATGCAGCAATTTTTTTTGGCTGCTTTTCCGCTGACCTCATTTGCACCTGAACTTATTTTTAGACAATGTTGCGAAACTCAGAAAAAAAACCATTGTTACCTATCATGTTACTGGTAACATGATAGGTAACTTGATGAAGTTAAAATCTCTTCATGTAAAGATCTTCAGGAATCGTGTTTTCAAACATGGTTTTTCCGGTCTAGTTTTCCTAATCAGGTACTGTGTTATGAGTGTTTTTGTATAAATGTTGGGTGTTTATCAAATTTTAATAGAAGAATTTATTCAATGCAATTTTTTTTAACGACGAGTTCCATCCTCGAAGAAAACACCACCATCAAGAGCGCAATACTTAGGACAGATTCCACGCTCTCCCTCGATGCCAGAGTTGCCGCCATTTCCTTTGGGTCCAGTGGTTCCATCATTTCCGGGCTTTCCAGGGGCGCCATCGGGTCCTTTGGGTCCAGGCTCTCCCCATTTGCCAGGCTCGCCATTGGCGCCAGGTGATCCCATATGTCCTTGTGGTCCGGCTGGTCCGGGAGGTCCACGAGCACCAGGTTGGACATTTTTTGATTCTCCGTTGGGTCCAGGATGGCCAGGCTCGCCGGGTCGTCCGTTTGACCCGGGTCTTCCGGGTGCGCCTTGAAGACCAACTCCACATGGCTCTCCTTCTGGACCTTCAGGTCCAGCGGGACCGGGTGGTCCCTAAAACAAATGTCTGTTAAAGTTTTAAAATGAACTGTTTACTTGATGTCCTTTAAGTCCGGGAGGTCCGGGTGGTCCGATGTCTCCGGCAGGGCAAGGCTCACATGGTGGTGGAGTGACGGGCTCGCACATGTTCGTCGGAGGACGTCCAGGATTTCCTGGAGCACCTGGGGCACCATTTCTTCCAGGGGTTCCGTGTCTTCCGGGAGCTCCTTTTGGTCCGGCCTCCCCGGGTAGACAGCATCCTTGGCATTGTTTGGCTTGACGAGCCACCCTTGTGCTGTTCAACATCTTGCTCTCAACATTCATAAGACTGACCTATACAGGCAAAATGTTTTCTTTTCACAACACTCATTACCTCAGTCCATGTGTCCTTGATTTCAACACGACATTTCTCGACTTCGCTATTGATATTGCGTCTCATCTGCTGTGTGTAGTTGTAGATCTAAAAGTTTTCGATTAAAAATGTAGTCGGTTTACAAACGATAGGCAAGGTGATGCACACGCTGAAGACGGTGACGGCTGAGAAGAAAACAGCCGCATAGCCAACAAATCTGTACGCTCGAATCTTAGAATCTATGTCCATTCTTGATGTAGTGAATGGACTACTGTTATCCAATGGCCTGTTTCCTGCCGAGTTCTCCCTTTATGAGATTTCTTGCGGCAAGCCCCTTCCCATCGTCCATTTTGATGATATTAACCTTGACTAACTCTGCCGAGGAATTTACTCTTTATCGGGCAAAAGTAAAGCGGCGAATTGTTTGCTACTCAACTCCGATATCCGCGATAAAGAAAGAGAGAGCTCGTTTAATCATTTTCTCTAATTTGTTAATCTTAGGCATTCGGCTAAGATTTTTACTTTTTTTTTTGCTTATCACCGCCAATTGATGTTTTTAAGTGGCACTTTTTATTACTGATTTCTCTCCCTGGATGGGATACGCGCAAGGCTATTTGCGATCGTTTTTCGAGAAAGGGAACGGGCTTTTTCATTTCGGTGTTTTGAAGGACATTTAGAGAGATGTGCTGAAAAAATAGGATTCCAGCGTTTTTTGCTAGCAAGTAAAATTAAAATAAAGGGATTTAAAAATTTAAAGACAAATGAAGATATATTTTATGTAGTAATTTAGATGTTTTCCTCCGATGAGAAGTTACGGCCACGGGGGTATCCAAAGTTTTTTGGACCGATCTTGAAAGACACAGAAGAAAATCTGGTATTTTAAAATTTCTATTATAACTAGCTATAAGCATTTTTACTATTATTGACGAGCGTTGTAGGCATTGGAAGTTTGGTGTTATAAGATCTTTTGTAATTCCTTTAGGTCATCTTGTATACCAAGAACAACTGCAACGAATCGAAAACAATGCGGGATCGTTTAAAAAACGAAAAGATAAATTTTGTCGAAAAGGTTAGTCTATTATTCTGCTTTCAACTTCCATTAAACTAAAAAATTTAGAACATTGACAACCTTTCAAAAGAGAACCCACAGGCTGCAAAGGATTATGCCCTTGGATTGCGAGTGATCGCACAAAAGCAAAGCATGCCGCAGCTTTTCGGTATTTTATTTTTTTTTAATTTTGTAAAATTTTTAGTTTGTGGTGATTTGATTGGCGACATAGCAGATCTACAAAAAGCTCAACTAAATCTCAAAGAACTTGTCAAGCAATGTTTCGAAAAGAAAAAAGAAGAACCGGCGAATAGAGTTGACCACCCTTCATTATAGGTCTTTTTTAAATTATAAGAAATAAATATTTTGCCAGTGCCTTAATTTCAAAACTATGTTTGAAACATTTATGTTGTGAAAATTAATTAGTGGCAATAAAGCTTAGTTATTTAGGTCAAGCATGGGAGGTTCAACTTCGCAGCATAAACAAGAATTGCCAAAGATTTGTGATCCAATCGTCGAAGAAGTTCGCCAAAATTCAGTTAGCTTTTAAATACATTAAAACTTATCTTTTGATTGTAGGTTGTTATGTATTCTACAACATCTTGTGGTTATTGTAAAATGGCGAAGGATTTGTTGAGAAACGAAGAGATAGAGTTTGTTGAAAAGGTTATTTTTAACTAAATTTAATTTTAATAGCTTCTTTCAGGATATTGAAGCAATGCATAAGAACAGCCCCGAGCAAGCGACTCAATACGTAAAAGCGCTGCAAATTATCACAAAGAAAACTACAGTTCCGCAGATTTTTAGTAAGAATGTTTTTCTTTATTTAGATAGGAAAGTTTTAGTCTGCAAACAGCACATTGGTGGTTATACGGATCTTGACAAAGTTCGTCCACGTTTGCACGAAATGATATCAAGATGTGATCTTAATCACAAGAAGCCTTCCCGAAGTGTAAAAAACGAGAAAAGTATGCTCTAGCTTTTTGCTCTTATAGTGTGTATTATTAATTAGTTTTATAGTTTGATATCCATACATTTCAGAAATTTGCGCTGTTTTGTTTTATTATGCGGTTAATAAATCGTTTTCAAGGTTATTTTCAATCTTTTGTTTGAGAGTCTGATAAGCCATTCACTAATACATCAAGTAAACAGTAAAAGCGGTTTTTTTCTGTTTGCATTCACCAGGCTTTTTGCAATTTTCATCAACGAGTTGGTAAAGTTTATATTTTTTCAAATTTGATTGGTTGGTCAAATTATTTGGAGAAAATCGACAATGGATCGAACTTTTGTTTTCTAAATTTCGCTAGCTAAACGTCCAGAAAAAATGTATATATAATAACCATTAGCGAGAAATTTCCGTTAAAGATTTTCATTTTGCTAAATTTACCAGAGCGTAGAGCTCTTTCGCCCGTAGCTTAGACATGTTTTATTGCACGTAGGCCATATGGCAAAAATGTTCTCTTCTCTTTGCACATCGTTTCGAACTCTTTCTACTGGAAAGTTGCTAAGCGTCATTTTTCCCTGAGAATTTTCTTTTTAAGTAGGGTGGTCGGATCACGTTGATTGACTTTATATTTTTCCAATTTCAGGGAAGGTCTAAAAGATGGCCAGCCAACGAAGCTCGCGAGTTGATCAACCTTCTGTGTCAGGAAGCGAGGCGGGATCATTCACGTTATTCAACGGAGCCGAACTTCCACCTTTCAGGTTAATTGTTATTTTAAGATAGTTATTGGATTTGCTTTCTGTTAGTAATTCAGTTAAAACAAAAAGAAAGTAAATCTACATCTGAAAGGTTAACGTTCAAAACTAACATGCTTTGCTTTAGAGCCATAAACGACTTTCTTCTCGAATCGGCTCGCTATGAGGTTTATTTATGCTTATTTGCATGAAAAATTTTATTTTATTTTTTAGCGCCCTCCACTTGAAGATTTGGCTCGCTGGAATAATCGAATCATCTCCAATCTGCTCTACTATCAAACAAACTACTTCATGGTGTTCATTCTTTTGCTTGGAGGCTTTACGATTGCATACGGGCAGGTACGATATTATTATATTGAAATTAGTTATGGCCAAATTACTTTTTAACATTTAATTTAGGATTTTGCCGTCGGATTGTGTGCTATTTCGCTTGTAACCGGGTCGGCCGTATTCAGCATTTCACCAAATCCACGCTTCCATGAGGTAAGCGTTCTAAATTTGTTTTGGTTGGCCTAATAAAATCCAAAATTTTTTGTTTTAGCTTCGCCGTGAACATCCATTGATTACGCTTGGATCTATCGTCGTCTCATTTTACCTTTTCATCACCTTTCTTTGGTCTGTCGCAATAGTAAGTTTTCGCAAAACGGGCTTTATGACTATTTTATTGTGTTTAGGTTTTCGTTGGTGTGCTGATTCCATTGCTCATTTGTATGATTCATGCTTCATGCAGGCTTCGCAACCTTAAGAACAAGGTAATTTCCGAATTAACAATCATTTAATTAGGAAAGGTATTGGTAATTTTTATTTACTGCTCATCAAGACGTTCATATTTCGATATTTTAGGCTACCGAATTCATGGAACGTGCCGGAGTTCGAAAGACTGTAATGGGCCAAATTCTTGATGCTTGTGGAGTGACAGTTAAGGCCTGAAGAGTAAGAGATTTTTATTTAGGCCCTTCTAATCGCATAATATGATAGTAAGAAGAGTTTTTTGTGATTTTAAGGCCAAGTCTTAGGCTTTTTGGTTTTAGCCGATAATCTCGATTCATCCCCCTTCCATTTGTTGTGTTTTTACATAAGAGTTTTTCGGTAAGGCATACCTAGTTTCATTGCATGTTTGATGACGTTATTGATAGAAATATCGTTCACTTATGCTGGGTGTTGTTTTACTTACGGCGAATATCTAGTGTTGAGTAAATTGTTTAATTTAAAACAAACATAAAGCACCGTACTAAAAATTACAAAGCATACAGTATCATACACTGTAAAAACGTATTACAGTAATCCATGTGATTCTAAATTTTATTGCTCGACACACGTAGGTGAAATGTATGCACAATTTCAAGGACAATGTTTTGTAGGTGGAAGTGAACCAACGAGTTGAGGAGGGGATGATCATTTTCCGGTCATTTGTTTGTTTTCTTTGGTGGCTTTTCTGAGGTCTTCTTTTGGCACTCCACACACACGCGGGCCGCTTTTTCCTTCTCTTTTCTCTATATTCTTTCTTCATCTCACTTCATAGTAAGGTGCGTGGAGGGAATGGGACGAGAAGATGAAGAGAAAAAGAAAGCAAAGGGAAAGATGGCATGCATCGCATCACTGTCTTTAAATCTTTCTCTGCCAATTGTTGATTCATTTTGCTTTAATTCATCATCAATTTTGCTTATCTCTATATCTTGATTTGGCTACAAATATAACAAAATAGCTACCGTAATCCCTGTGCAAGGTTGCATACCCGAAATCAAAAGAGCTCATAATACTTTTTTGTGGAAGGTGATTAACATTAATAGCTTGATTAACAACCCTGATTGTCCAAAAAGTAAATAATTTTAAGCCTTATTTTCAAATCGAAAGTAAACGACATAAAGTGACAAGAAGAGAGTGTAGCACAAGAAGGGAACGAGGAGATTTCCTTGTGCTTGTCGATTAGAGGAGTGTGTAGATTGGGGGAAGGGGTGTTGTTTGTTTTCATCAGTTATTTGTGTAAGGGTGAGACTTCTGCTTTTTTTGCTAGCTACAGGGGAAATTTTTACAGACGAGGGAAATGGATAGGAAAAAGAAAAGGATGGATTTGAGAGAGGGGCAAAAAAGAAGAAGGGTGCCCCTTGGATTTCGAGAGGAGTCCCCCATCCCATCCCTTCCACAACGCGTCGACCCCATCTCCTCTTCTTCTGGTAGGATGGTCGATGTAGGGTGTCTTGAGAAGTTTCACTCGTTCACCATTTTCACATCAAATCTCATTTCGCTTTTGCATGATCATAATCTTTTTAATGTACTGGTAATCGCCAAAAGTATTACGATTTACATTTCTCCACAAGAGTTTCCCGTACTGTATTTTGGTGCCATGAAACTTTGGTTTGGCTTTAGCTATGTATCTATTGGAGTAAACAGAGCTTTTTATAGATCTACATAGACAGCCTAAACGTAGAAAGTACTTATGGTACAGTGATCTAATCTAATTTCATACTGTCTTAATAATATATCTTTTTATAGATCTTTCAAATCTTTCAAATTTAATCAAAGGGATCGTTTTTGATCTCCTCGATCGTTTTCCTTGCCTAAAAATCGCTCTCGACGAAAAGTGCATGATTGGGAACACGTCGATTAGTCAATCGGCGGAATTTCTTGAGGGGAAAATTTCTGTGGGCAGAATGGGGAAAAGAATGAAAGGGAGAATGAACAGAGAGAGTGCCAACTGTTTGTCACTCTCGGAAGGGAAAAAGGGGATGTGGGTGATCCCTTTTTGCTTCCCTCCAAAGACCCGTTCACCCCACATAACGAAAACGGTGCTGATGGAGGGGAAGGGTATGTTGTAAACGGTTTCTCTCTCTTTTTGCGTTAAGTGGAGGAGTTGTTGCTTGACATGAAAGTCGAGAAAGAGAGATTCATGCGTGAGTCCTTCTCACTCGTTTTCCCCGCAAAACTAGAGGTGTTTAGGGGCAATCCTTTAGATTTGGCACAGTTCATATCCGTGATTTGTTTCTTTCAGAGTTTTCCCTGTTCTTCCCTGTTCTGGAGGTGTGTCTATTCAGTTCAGCAAGCATTCATTGGCATTTTTAAATCTAAAACTATTGCTGGGCATGACTTTTTTAAACTATGAATACTGTTGATCCAATGCCAAACAGTCAACGTAAAACATATTCATCTATTCCAATCTAGCTCTTCGACTGACTCATCCTCTTTCTCTCTTTGACAATCCTTTGATCCGCTCAAATCTCCGATGCCCATTTTTGCTTGAAATACGAAAAATACCGAGTTTCATATTGATTGTCTGTATTTTGAGGCAATTTCTTCTTTTGCCTTGGCTTTTGCCGAAGTCTATTTCGTTTATCAAGAATGTAAGTTTATTCTCGATAAGCTAATAATAGATTCAGCCCTTAATCCGAAAATTTCTTTCCTTACCCCATAAATTGATTTTATTGAAGTTAGAGGTTTTCGGGGGATGGCACTTGCCGGACTTTTTTTTTGCAAAAGAGTAGACTCGAGAAAAAATGAGGGCCCGGTTGTTAGAGGGAAAAAAGGGAGATTGACCTAATAGCGATCAATCTTTTGTGTGTCGGCTCAACCATTCGAGGGGAACTTGTGAAAGGGAAAAGAGAGGAAAGTTCTCGACGAAGCTTTGTTGGTTTTAAATTTTGAGTAATAAAGAAAATGACCTGAAATAATGGTATCCTCCTCGAATTCATTCAACTCAACGATCACTGTCACAGTTCATTTCTTCTTTCGATTTCTCTGCTTTAATCGATCTAAACCCAAATCCCTTTTAAAGTGATAGAAATGTGTAAATGAATAGTCGCAGCACGTTTCTCAACAAGAGTTTATATAATGTTTTCTTTGTTTAATATTCCACATCTGTTCTCATCCCATTCACTCAATGATCAAAGAAAAGGGTTATTTTAACCCTTTTCTTTTTCTTTTAACATCTCTTTTGAACCTTTCGACAAAAATAAACAAGCTTTAAAACAATTTTAATGTTATTAACTTTTGTAAATGTTAGCTCAAACCTCTTAAATAATATTGTATTGCCTAATTTGACTTTTCTTTTGTCAACTTTTGATTACAACGAGTTTAGATTATCTTTTAGGCGTCGGGTGCATTTCTTGGTGCCATTGGAGGGTTGGCATAGAAGAAAAATGGAGACGGTGACGGTTCGAATGTCACGGGGAGATCGGACAACCCCATGGGGATTTGGAGTCACCGAAGCCCCGTCAAGGGATGTTGTCATCGTTAATGTAAGGAAACGAATTCGGATAAACTCAATTCTCTAATCATTCATGATTTGTAAAGTGTTTCTCTTTTGAAAGACTGGGAGATCTGTGAGAGTGTTTGTGTGTCAATCGAGAAATGGAGGTGTTGACAAGGTGTTGAACATGGCTGAAAGATTGTGAGTGGATGAGTGTTGATGGGATGAGAAGATGAAGAACAAGAGAGGAGAGGAGAGGTTGTCACGATGGTCAACCACTTTTTCTGGTTTTTCTATAGTCAGAAGGGTCAAAATGAATTTGATTTAACAGTGGAAGGAATAAAGAAAGAATACGGTATTTTTTTCTAATAAGGGGAGCGTCGCGTAGTCGTTTCTGCAGTAAATCATTCTTTTCTCGCAAATCTTTGAACCGATTTTGTTCAGGTTTTTTCTAAAAAAATGGCTGCCTAATTTCTCTAATGAATGAATTTGAAACAACTTTTGAAATGATCCGTTAAGCTATAGCTATTACCCGTAAAACTCATAAAAATGCTAACTAGTAGGATTACTAGTTAGCATTTTTATGAGTTTTTATGAGTTCTCTTCATCTCTTCGAATCTCATTACAACACCTCAAAAAAATTTCCTCTCTTTCTCATTGTTTGCGAGAGAAAGAGAGGGTTTTCATCTTTCTTTCCCCCCTTTTTTTTCGGATCCGATTACCACATTCAGGCAGTTTTTTGTGCGTCTTAAAAACTAAAGTGTTAAGAAGGGATTTTAGAGGGAAAAAAAGCTAATTAGCAAACAGTAAGCGATTGAGAATTGTTTAAAAGCCTTTCCGACCAATTTCGGTTTGATATTGCTTGGTATTCACTTGGCTAACAGATTCTCATTATGTTTACAATCACTCATAAATCAAAGATCATCAATTTTCGCACTTAATCTTTGAGTTGTCTATGTCTGCTCATTAGTAAGTTTAGGTTTTTCTTTTTCTGTAGATGGATAAAGAGAAAAGAGAAAAGGGTAGAGGAAAGGGCAAAAGTGAGGGCGATCCCATCAAGTGTAATAAGAAAAAAGATATCTAAAAAAGTTCTTTAGAAAGCCATAGAAATTAAAAAGAAATGAAATAATGAAGGTCTCATCTAGATAAGTATTTTTAGGTAGTTGGTGGATCGTTGGCCGATCGAGCCGGTCTCAGAAATGGGGATATTCTCGATGAGCTTGAGGGACTGCGGTAAGTCGTGTACAGTTAAGAAGATAAATTGTATTTGATTGCAATTGACAAAATTCTATTCTTTCTTTCAGGTATTGAAAGATAGAATTGAATTTTTTTCAGAAATCTTGACATCAACGCGACAGATCGTCTCTTGGTGACGAGTCGGGACAAAATCGAGCTCGTCGTGCATAGGTTTGAGGCAATTCTTGTATTTAACAATGGAATCATAAAATTTAAAGGCTTAAGCTGCTTCTAGAGCAAAAAAAGCTTTAAATCTGATCTTCAAATCTTCAAATCAATTCAAATCTGATCAAAGCTTCAAATCTGATCACTTGAATCTTATCACCATAAAACTGGGTATATTCTCGGGGTGATTCCTTCTCTCGTATGCAAAGTGACCTCTAAACGGAGGGAATGATTAAAAGAAGAAAAGAAAAGAAAGAGAGAAGAGATTTCACCACCATTTTCACCCCATCAACTCACACAAATCATTGCTTTTAATCAGCCATTGCTCTTCGACAATTCATTATTCCTTCACTACTTTCTTTTCCTAGCTATACCAAAACATTTCTTAAACTTTGATCTCATAAAAGCATTCCGAAAATTTCCTTCCGGCCAAACGCTAGTTAATTTTTATGAATTTGACGTCTCCCTTCTGTGGAATCTCAAATCTTTGCATTCTTTCAAAGCAATCAAATTCTTTTTTTCAAAAACTTTACAACTGTAATCGTTTTCTCATCGAAAAACCTGTCTTATCTCAGAAATTTTGCTTTTTTCTCTTCTTGCTAAATATTTTTATTTCTTTTTGAAGTCAGATGCCACGGATTGAGTTTTTTTTGATAAAAAGAGAGAGTTTTTATCAAATGGAGATGCTCAAAGACCAATTTTTTGTACACAAACTTAACTGAAAAAGCTTGGCATTGTTAGGATTCTAATTTTCTTTACTTGAAAACTTACTGTAGTAAACTTACTCTTAATGTAGTAAGCTTACTCTTACTGTAGTAAACTTACTCTTACTGTAGCCAACTTTTCTCTCTTTCAAGTACCTAATGAGTAAATCATATTCCGAGACAATGAAAAAAAAGACTAACTTTATCAATTTATTTCAAAAGATCATTGTTTTCCTTTTTTCTGAAGTTCTTTATGGCTTAATGTTGGTCTTTTTCAGACAAAGACTAGGCGGATTAGGCATTTTTTTGATATGAACGGTTGGTTAGTGTGAAAGAAAGCTTTACACACAGTTTCTTTTATCTGATTCCTAGCTGATTTGCCTTGAAATTTTAAATTCTTGAATCTTTTCAATTAAGTACTTATTTTTCACCAATCGCAAAGCCTTTTTGTTAACAAAAAAAACAATTTCATTGAAAAACAAAAGTAAACAAGAATTGAAATGATTTGAAATTAATGGATGAAATGTTCGAGCATTCGAGGTTGCTGTTATGACATCGAATTGCACAGGAGACCAACTTTGAGGCAAACACAGCATCCGTTCTTGCATCCGCTTGTGCTCATCAGCTACATTGCTTACCGCATAAAATATTTTAAATAGTTATTAAAAGTTAAAATAACTAGCCTTGAGATCCCGTTAGCAATTCTGTTGAAACAACTGATCGAAATGATGCTTGAGGCACTCTTTGGTGGAGGGGAAGTTGTTGGTGGAGGGGAAGTTGTTGGTGGAGGGGAAGTTATTGGTGGAGGGGAAGTTGTTGGTGGAGGGGAAGTTGTTGGTGGAGGGGAAGTTGTTGGTGGAGGGGAAGTTATTGGTGGAGGGAAGTTGTTGGTGGAGGGGAAGTTGTTGGTGGAGGGGAAGTTATTGGTGGAGGGGAAGTTGTTGGTGGAGGGGAAGTTATTCTTAGCTGGCTCAAATTGATTTCTTGTTAGTCTAAAGTTAAACTTTGCAATAAAAACAAATAAAAACTTACCCTCAGTGTCCACTCAGTTTCTTCAGTCGTTTTCGTCTTCCCTTTCTCAGCCGGGAAATCTTTGAGCTTCTTGATCATCTCAATATTCTTCGGTCATTAAAATCGGCGATCGTTTTCTTCTTAATTCAACTCTTCGAAATGTTTGTAGAATTCGACTTCCATCCTAAAAAAGAAAAATGAATATAATTGATGAATGCAGATGAAAAGAAATGAAGAAATGAAAAGAATGGAAAAAGAAATAAGAATGAAGATGGTTACCGTATTTTCTCTAATAGTAGTGAACCCCGGCGAGCCGCTTTTTCTTGGATAACAAGTTCCCAGGCAGCCTTATCGACGGCAAAACGGGATGGGTGTGATGGAGATTCGAGCATGTATTGGAAGGGATTAGTTCAAAGTGTCACTGACTTTGGGTTTGTGAAATGTTGGCAGTTGATGACTATTTTACGGTTTCCAAGCTTTTGCAGAAGCTCAACACTCAAATCCCCCACTAGATCTCATCGTCAGCTACATTTTCCGATCCCACATCGATAGGTTCTGATAAGCAGTTCTTGAGATTACGAGGAATTTAGGCGACGCTCTGGGTGCACTACTATTAAAGAAAATACGATAAGCATGAAACGTTAAAAAACACCCGCACAAAAGATGCATTTTATTTAAAGCGATAAATTTGAATTTTATTATTCAAATTAATTAATTAGCTATGTTTTTAAAGATATTCTTTGTATTTTGAGATATTTTTATTTCTGAAATCTTTCCCCCAATCTCTCGGTTTATTTGATTTGATTGTGTCAACAGATATCCTCAAGCTTCTCAATTCAATCTCAAATCCACTTATTTTTATCACTTTTCATTTTTATAAGCAAATATTATATAATAAAGTTGATCGTACGTATTTGATAGAACTATTTGATCGAATACGTACAAGTACGTAAGTTAAACAAGTTAAAGAAGAAGTTAAAGAAGAAGTTCTTTCTTTTTGGATGTACTTTATCATTTCCCTAGCTTGCATATTCATTTAATTAATTTAGAAATTTAATTCATTCATTTAGATCCAAAATTCATTTAGATCAAAAATAAAATCCATTTTTTGTGTGCCGAGTTGAACTCAGGCAGAATTAATGGGTAATAAAGTGAATGATTTGATGGAAATTCCTTTTGTCTTTTTCTTTTCAAGTTTAGCTCATCAAAAAACACCGACAAATTTATCGGAATAATTAAAGATTCGCAAAATTTTCGACACTTTAAAGTATGAGGTCAAATGATTGAGTTTTTCTAATTGAAAAGCCTTACAGTAAGCTTACAGACCTTACAGTCCTTACAGGCTTTTCTAAAGTTTGATATTATCTTGAATTTTTGTATTTGATCACCGAAATCTTCCTCATAAATTTCTTTGAAATGTTCGAGAAATGTTTTCACTTTCATTTCTTGTTATCATTCCTTTCAAATCTGATCTTTTCCTTTTCCTTAAAAGAGGTCATTTAGTCTCAAAGTGAAATTCGTGAAAGGGAAAGCAGAAAAGGAGAAATGGTGGCCAAAGTGGTGGCAATGGTCGAGAGGAGAAAGGAAAGGAGAGGGAATGAAGGGAATCAAGCAGAGATCTCATCATCACCCACACAGCCACTCCTTTCATCTTCATCTTCATCTTCATCTCATTCTTCGTCTCCAATCGAACACGACGAGAAACTCCGTCGTGATATCTACGAGGTTTACAATCAACTCTGTATGGTTCAAATAACCGCCTCACCGAAGCCATGGTTTGTTTTGATCGATTAAAGGAGTTGGGTAGAGTTGGAAGCTTATGGTAGAGCTGGAAGCTGATTCTTGTTGTACTTTTGTATTGTCAACCTCACCTCGATTCTTCTTTACTTTCCCTTTTTCTTCTTTACTTTCCCTTGTCTCTTTCTTCTTACCTCCTTTTCTTCTTAAGATAAAGAAAACTGAAATCCATGAATCTTTCACGATTTTCACGGATAAACGCCGAATGATTGCAGCTTTTTTTGTCGATTAGTGACAATAAAATTGGGACAGGCTTTACCGGATTTTCGCTTTTCTTTTTGAACGGGAACGGGAACGAACCAGCCGATATTTGACTCCTTTTCCTTTTCTTTATTCATTACATTCTGACCAAATAACGAATCTTGCTTCATTTCTTGCTCTTGTCCAATATGGACACATTTCCCCAATCAACTAACGCAGAAATGCCGATCTTTCCCCCGACTTTTCGAGGCTCGCGAAAGGAAATCCCCGATTTATTGATACCAAATGATTCAAAAATCCCTGTTCCACAAGAGGTTTACGAATTTTTGAGCAAACATGGTTTTAAACATTCCGAAGAGTTGCCTAGTCCCTTCGTTTTTTCGAATAAATCAGTGACAACGAGTCATGGAGTGACGGAAAATGGAGAGCGATTCACTCAACAACATTACACAGTCAATACACATGAATGGTATGCACCGACGTTTGGAGGGAAACAAGAAAAAGGAAAGGAAAAAGAAAGGAAAGAAGAAGGGAATCGAGAAGAGGGCAGAGGTGGACGGTTGCTCGATAAAGTGAGTCAAGAATTGGAGGAGATCAGGCTAAAGAGGGAAATCGATGTGGATAAGAAGGAGAGAAATGAAGAGTCGAAGAAGAAATCGGATTTGAATGACACGAAGGGATTCAATCATTTCAAATCCTTTCAAAAGTTGAATGAACCGACAGATCAAGAAATTGAGCTGAAGTCAAGTCTTGACAAGAATCTGCAAGCAAATCTGGTGAAAAGTTATGGGAATTCAAGCCATAATCAATCGAAAATTGGGGAATTATTCAAGAATTTGAAAAAAGAGGAAGAAAATGTTCAGAATAAAGATATTCATTCAACGGTATTTGAAAAGGCAAAGATATTCAGTGAGAGAAGAGAAGAGTAAGTTTAGATTTCGTTTAGATTTCGTTTAGGTTTGGTTTAGATTTGGTTTAGATTTGGTTTAAGATTTCCAAAAAAAATTTCAATATTAGGATTGGGTATTTGGAATTTTAGAAATAAACTAGGAACTAGGAAACACTTTTTAAAAGTGATTTTTCAGGAATGGCAGCGGTGGAGGCGCGTCGAGAGTTTGGAGGCCGGAGATCACTCAAAACACCGAGATGCACAAATTCCAGGCAAGTTTCCAAAGGGAGATTTCTATTTAGATATGTAGATTTGTTAGATATATCGATTTAATATGAAATTCCTTTCAAATACCCATATTTTTCAGGATTCCACTCATCAAATGCCCTACAAAGTCTCCCTTGAGCACAACAATTCGGTGAGTGACTAAAGGAAGGCTTGCATTGCATTTATATTACTATCTTGAGCTATTTTTATTTATCTTTTAGCTAGTATTAGCCTAATACTGAGTAAATTTATATCTAAAATGTACTCTAAACCTTTGAATACCAAGATTTCAGTCCATCCCACCAAAGGGTTTCAACAACGCGGCGATGCCCTTCAATACCGATCCACGAGTGAAACATTTACAGTATAACAGGTAGATTAGATGACATTTAGGGAAATACCTCTGGAATATGGTGTTACCTAATTGGCATCCAATTTCATTCTTGATCTATTTCAGTCCAATGAATCTCTACTCGAACACGGCAGCGGCTGAACAATACGCACAACAAACACAGGGAATCGTTCAAAATGAGTCCGTTTTTGAAGAAGAGATTAAGATTTTTATTAACTAATTAATTAAAAAGATATTCTTCTAATCAATGTTATTTCTTTTCCTTTTCCCTTTCAACTTTCCCTTCATTTTTCTGACCTAGATTTGGAAGGAAAAGGGAAAATCTCCTTATTGGCTTTTGAATCAGAAATGAATAACTGAAGAATAAAAGATAAAAGAAAAGAATAAGATAAGATCTTTTATAAGATAAAAGAAAAGAAATTGATTGAATATTTATTGAAGATAAGATAAAAAGGGAATAGATTGAAGATTTCTAATAAAATATGATTTCAATTGCAGTTCATCTCTCGGTCGAGCTCGATCCGATCAACCATCCTATATGAGATCAGAAACATTGAAAGTACTCAAAGAACATGAACAAAATGGTAAAGTTTAAAGCATACAAAAGAATCTTTTATATCTGATACGTGCATTAAATTACATTAAATGAATTTCCAGGTCACTCATCCCATCCAAACCCTCAAGGTCTCCCCGTCTGCTATGTGTGCACCAAACCGATCTTGTAAGTCATTTAACAAAACCATTTATTTGTTCCCCATAATATTGACACTTGAAATGTGAATGTGATAATAATTCTTGTAAAATCTTTCATTCCTGAATCCAGTCGGCTTGAAAATCACCGCGTTTTCCGAGAAGAATCGCTCCACCAGTTCGAGGGAAACGAACGGGACGAGGGGCGAGGAAATCCTGGAGTTCAAAGCTATTTTTACTATGCTTTACTATGCTTTACTATGCTTTTACTAGGCTTACAAGACTTTTCACACTATATTTCTCTATATTTCTCTATATTTCTACAGTAACTTTAATTCTACCGGGAATGATCGTTGTTGTCTTAAAAGGGGCTCATCAGCGGTTTGAGTGAACGAGGAGGGACTCCAGTAAGGGCGATTGAAAAGGGAAACTGACTGAAAATGGAATCAACTTCAATATTTTGAAATTCTTAACGTTAGAAGTATCTGATTATACAAGAGATACTTATTTTTAAATGTAAAGAAATCAAAACAAACCTCCGTGAAGGCAATGACGGCAAAAGCGAGAATAACAACTCTCATTTCTTTCAAACACCTGAAACAATTGCATTTAAAATAAGAATAAGACAAAAAAAGAAAAGAAAGAGAAAAATATTGAGTATTAGAAGAAGAAATTACAGGGGATTAATGGCTCAAGCCGCCGGTCATCAGCTACACGGAGATTGTCTGGCTTGTGCTACTTGTGGCACTTCGTTGAAGGTAAAGAATATTTTCCCTTCAGTTCACTTGTAAATAATATTCCGATATCCAAATTTATAGAACATTGGACATCACTATATCGATGGGAAATTCTACTGTGATATTCACCAACGATTGAAGAGAGCCACAAGCACTGGACCTGCTGATCCAAATCTCATGGCGTGAGTTCAAGAGTTCAAAAGAAATTCAAAGAAGTGTTTTGCAAAAGAAATGATTGGACTCACACCATATTTGATTGAACTTTGCCTTAGCCTTTTCAGTCTAAGGCAAAGTTCAATCATATATGGAGTGAGTAAACATTCCCTCCAATTCATAAAAAGCCCTTAAAATCGGGGAAATCCAATTGTCTTTTGGTGGGTAACTCGAGGGAAAACATTTGGGAAATTCCCACAAATGAAAGCGAATATGGTGGGTGAATTCGATGATTGGGGGAAATGGGGAAAAGAATGAAAGAATAAAAGAATTGAATTGAAGAATAAGGATTGAATTGCTGGCGAGGGAGAATTTGGTGATGACTTGATCGGTGAACACAAAAAGGTAATAGGAGAGGTGAAGAAATTCGACGTGAGTAATTTTGGAGCTGGATAGGATCATCGTTTAGCATCACACACTCTAAAATGAGAAGTTCTAACTAGGGAACCCCTTGAAGTTACATTTCAGGAGCAATCTGATTCTCAAAAACCCAAAAAATGGCTGTTGGGACAATTATTCAAAAGTCGGAGCCTTTTTTACATCAAACTAATGTTATTTAAGAGATTACTAATCAAAGAAGTAGTTTTCGAGTGTAAAAAAATCAAAAGTCTGATCGCGAGTGGATCCGAACCAGGGGGAAAAAGGTTTGAACGAGCGAGAGGTGCCCTAGCACATTATCCATTAGGTTACCAAGTCAAACGCCTTAAGTAGACTAGCATGTTGTTTAGCGAAATTGGCTCAAACTTTGAAGGCTTATACCTCAAAAACGGCTAATGATAAGTAGGATTCGAAAGCAGTTTTGGGATACCCTTAACCAGGGGGTGTTTCCATCTCGGAATCAGGTCACTCCTCAAATGTAACTTCAAAAAAACGAGACATTTTCAATGATCTTTTTGGCCAAAATTAGAGAGAATCCTCCTTGGATCGCCACTTGAAAAACACGTAGTTAGATCGATGAATATTTCATTGAAATATCTTTGAGAAGTCATGCAATCTGTGAAATGGAAAGGAAAGGAAAGGAGAAGAGATCCCCACGCATTTTGATCCAATGGAATGAGTGAATGAAATTAAATATTTTAAGGAGACTAAATTTGAAAATGGTTAAAAAAGGGAACGGGAGAAGTAAAAAAATTTAATGGAACATCTTATTTCAGCCGAATCCCACCAACAGCCGCCCAGCCGACACGTCCAAGTGAACCACCAAGGGGAGCCTATCAGCCTGATGTAATTTCTTTGGTTTTATAGAATGGAGTATATAAGATTAGTTATCGAAAATATTAGTCTAGTTCTTGTTTTCTAAAGATCTATGAATTCCACTTTTTTTCTAGGGAATCAACCGTCGCCCACTTTCCGTTTCTCCAAACCCGGGCCAATGGTCATCCACTCAACAATCACTCAATGTCTCTGTCAGCAATCCGAGAACACAAGGAGTCATTAGGTAATGAAAGAATTGCTGTAAAATTGTTGTAAAATTGTTGTAAAATGGTTGTAAAATTGTAGAATCTTGTATTGTAGAAGAAGAAATCTGGTGATTGAACGAGAGCATTTCTCTCAAAGACTACCCTGTCACCAAAATGGGCACTTTCGTTGAAGAGACATTATTTATGCATTTGTTTTTCTCGCATTCCTTTTGTCTTTTGACTAAAAACATAAGGGAAAACTGTTTATTATGTTGCGAAGAAGTATAAGGAAGGAATAGTTTTAGAAATAAAAATAAATCGATATTTTTAGCCCCGCCAATCGCGGTGTGCCCAGCTCGCAGATGTATGGAAATGACCTGAACAGAGGAGGAAGCCGTGCACCTCAAGGTGATTCAAAATCGCTTCTTTAAACGAGCCTAGCCGCCTTTGCTGTGGCGCAGTTGGGCGCTGTAAATCCCAAGTGGTCAGCATCAGCTCACATGATCTACAGCTCACATGATCCGAGTTCGACACCCCGTGGGGCCACTTGGCCACTTGGCCACTTTTTGGCTTAAAAACGACTGAGAAAAGGAACAGATACTGCTCTTTTATAGATATATAGATCCATGATCAACAGGCTATATAAACATAACTACAACGATCTGTTTTCATTTGCAGACTACCGTCCATCACCAACTCTGGCTCCTCCATCAGGCGCCCCTCCACCACCTCCATCATCACAACCACCAATTGGTTCGTTTAATGTGTATTTGTTTCCAGTAAACATTGATTTCTTTTAAGGAAACCCTTTCGATGTTAACTGTTGTCCTTGTCCTTGTCTCAATGTCTTTGTCCATTCAGATCCCTCGATGGTCCACAATGTTCACCTCCATGTCCCCTCCTCCCTCCGTGCCGCTGTTTCCCCTCGTCGTCGTGCTCGTCTTCCTCGTGAATGGCCTCCATCAAGAGGACAAGTGAAAACAACTCCATTTTGGAATACAGAACTTCATCAACCTGCTTGTATCCAAGTTCCATCTAAACCACACACTGTTTCACTGCATGATGCCGTTTTTGAGATGGATACAGACCCAGAAGAGAGAAAAGAATCCCCAAGGAGGATGACGATTTTGGAGAGAAGTCCATCAGGAACGACTTTCAAGAGTTCTCCGAAAATCATTAATCGTCCATCTTCTGTTCAATTCGAGCCAATATCTAGTCAACCAGAATTGTTGAAAGCAGTGCAAGTACAAGTGAAAGAAGTGGCTAAATTGGACGTTCCTCCACTTTCGACAAGCACTCCACGAATCGAGACAGAGCCAGCAAAGGCAATGATCAAAACCGATGCGATCACATCAGATCAAGTAGAACAGATTAGCGAATCGAGCGACCAATCGAGCATCAGTGAAACTCAAAATCAGAATCAATCATCGGATTCCAATCAATTAAACACATCGCAATGCACTCAAACAACACAAACAAGTCCGGGTTTAGTTGAAGATGGAGTCAAAGAGAATAAAGTAAAGAAATTACAGAAGAAACCAGGAAGGAAAGATCCCCGAAGACTCACCGCAATCTACACACCAAATCTAGAAGAGACACCGATTGAGATTGAAGTGAATGATGAAGAAAAGGTTGTGATGAGACCGGAGAAGACACAGACTGTCACTGTGGAGTTGGATGGGAGAAGAGCTAGTACTGTGCAACAGGTTCCTGAAATCTCAAATCTCCCACCAATCCAGGATACAATCTCTAGATTTGGCTCCTTACCAAAAATCACTTCACCGAGACCATTTGTACCTTTGAAAGAACCTGTGTACTCATCAGTGAAAAAGCTAGACGAATCTCTGGTTGATAAACCGATTAGAAAAGTTTCTGATTCCCCAATTCTTGATCAATACAATAAACCTTCTTCATCTAATCCAAGTGCAATCAAAATTGGTCCCCTCTTGAAGCCAGTAAGTCCCGAAAGATCAATTGCCTCAAGGAATCATTGGAATCAATGTCATCTCTAAACCATTTAAAGCTCCCGATATGATTGAATTCCCTTCACATCGTAAGAGATATTCATACAATGTTGCGGAAGAACAAAAAGTGAATCGACCAGTAGAATTGGCATCATTACCACCATTGATGAAAGGAAAACAAGTCGTTACTCCACAAGGATCTCCATTCTCAACACTCACTCGACAAAAAGATCCACGCTCTATTGAAGAGAGAAATCAACAACTTTTGCAAAGAACTCCATCACCGAAAGGGACATTGACAAGAAGGACACCATCTCCTGTATTGAATATCTCGATTCAACCATTACCTACGAGAAATGAAGAAGATCAAACAATGAAAAGTGTTTCAACTCTTAGAAAAGCTTATGAACAACAACCGACACAAATCAGACAATCACCTGTAATGGGAATTCAAAGTTTAGGAAAAAGAACCCCATCTCCTGGCTTGAAAAAAGTTATAGAAAAAAAGAATTTCATTCGAGAAGATAGTAGGACGAGTCAGAATGAATTTGAGGGAAATCAATGGGCAAAAGTCTCGGAAGTGGTTGATGAGAGTGATATAATGACAGATACATCGAGGAGATCCGATGAATCGACAAATGCAGCTGCTTCTGAATTGTCTGATGTTGCGGAAGCAGTCAAATATCAACCACTCAATCAATATGATGTTGATGAAAGTGAGTTAGTGAAAATTCGTAAATCTCAGAAATCAAATCAAGAAGATACTGATGTGACAGATATTGATTCTGATGAAGAAAAGGAGAGATGGATGAGAGAAGAATTGGAGTTGGCAAGGAAAGAAGAGCTCGTCAATCAAATGATTCATTGGGAAAAACCCATTGTTTATCGAAGAGAGTCACCAATTGCGATAAGAGGTGAACAGACATCTCAATCTAAATCCAAATCAACAACGACAAACTTTGGCATTAAAGACAAGACTTGTCGAAACTATAGATGAAAATGCGAATTGGGATGATCCGAGTGAAAGAGATACACTCTCAATGGTGTCTGAGTCGGATGAATGGAGAAAGAAAGCAATGGAATTGTTGGATGATGATACACAATTCGATAGAGATATGCAATTAGTTGCTAAATTGCATCAACAATTGGAGGAGTGTCGAGGAATGGACGAAGGAGATCGACAAAAAGCCATTTATTGCATGAAAAGACATAAAAAGACATTGGCTTCTGATCAGAGATTGGCCAAGTTGTTGGATTCAGCTATTCATTTTGTCGCTCATTTAGAAGAACCGCAGAGATTACAATGGACAAAAGATATGGTTGGTGTAGAGAATTATGAAGAACCGATGAAAAGAGAACAACGAATGAGTAGACAAGGATCACGAGAGAAATCCGGACCTGGAAGTACACCATATCCACCGGAAAGGAAAAATTTTGGACAAGTGCAAGTACATCCAATGAATCCAGTCATTTTACAAGAAGAAAAGGAGATTTTGGATGAATTGGGAAGATTGGATTTGAGGAATCGAGAAAAGGAGGGACAAGAAACCATTGTGAAATCAGAATCTCTAAAAAGAGGACCGATCATTCCAGAGATTGATTACCCGATGGATTCACCGATTTTTGCTCGAAAGAACTATGAAACGTTGCCGATTCGAACTGAACAGTGAGTTTGGCTTAATGGGTGATGGAAATCCAGTACTGTAGCTGGGTTTCTTTAGAGTTCATGCAGGAGAATGTTTAGGTTACTGTAGTACTGTAGATTTAAGTGTTTAGCTGTTAGTGCTGTACACTGTACTAAAGTACTGTAGATTTATGTTATGTTTAGCTGTTATCTTTCTGCTTAGTTGTTATCTGTTATCTAAATGTCTTTTTTTATGTTGTCCCGTTCAGATTGTCGAATGTCCTCGAAGAATTGAATAACATTATGAAACCAAGAAGCTCGGATTTCATTTCGAGAAAGTTGAAATCCGTTCAACGAAAAGAAACACAAGAAAAAGGTTGTTGTCTAGTGATTGTTTTTGTAGATTGTTTTGTAGATAAAGATCTCTTTAAAGAACAAAATTCTTTCAGTGAACTCCTACGCGTCAAATCGTCAAAATCAACAACAACAACAAACGACTCGTACCACCGACTCGCATACTCTTCTGAATCAACCCGCTCAAGGAGGGAAAGTCCCGTTCTGTGAGGCTTGTAAGCAACAGATTCGGTTAGTTTATTGATTATCGAAAACAGTAATCATTTAAAAACAGTTCAAACAAACCAATTGGTGGTTTTAAAGTACGAAAAGAAATGAAAAGACTTTCTCAATGAAAAGACAAATATTCGGAAACTTTAGCGGAGCTTTTGTATTGGCTCAAGGTCTTTCTTGGTGTCCGGAACATTTCATCTGTGCAAATGCTTCGTGCGGTCGACGACTCCTCGAATGTGGATTTGTTGAGGAGAATGGGCAAAAATTCTGTGAAGTAAAAAGAGTGTCTAGATGTTTTCGAAAAAAAAACCTCATTTTCAGAACTGTTTCGAGAATAATATCGCTCCAAGATGCGCCAAATGCGCTCGACCAATCGTTTCGGTGAGTTTACTAATATTTTTAACAGTATAACCTTTAATATTTAGGATTGTCTGAATGCTTTGCAAAAGAAATGGCATCCTCAATGTTTCACTTGTGCTCATTGCTCGAAACCTTTTGGAAATTCGGCTTTCTATTTAGAGCAAGGACTTCCATATTGTGAAAATGGTAATGAAATTGAAATTGATTACCCTAAAGTCGCGAGTATAAGTTCTGTTTGGTTTTCGCATGCAAATTGACGGCTGTCTCCGGTGCGGTGTGTCGAGGGTTCGAACTCCGCTGCAGCATAACTTTTTTGCTTTTTAAGAACAATAATAGAAGTAAATTTATTGAGGGTTATAGCAATTTTATGCTGTTATTTGTTGCTCCGGGCGTGGTCGGCGGTCCGCCCTGCTCCCTCTCCGGTGCTCAGTCTTATGGATCCCTCCCTGGCCTCTTCATCCGGCCAAAGTCCACGTCGACGGTCGAAAGAGATGCTTTCCAGCGTCTTCTTCAACACTATCGTCTGGATGTATCCATGCACATAACAAATAGCAATGGTGATAGGCTGTCACCCTGTAGTATCCCGCGCTCCAAGAACAATAATAAAAGTTTATATAACAATAAAAATGTATAAAAACCCAACAAAAAGAAATTCAAAGCAATTAAAGCGAATGTAAATTAAGGCAGAACTTATACTCGGATGAACCTATACTCGAGACTTTAGGGTAATCTAAATCTCTTCAGATTGGAATCGTTTGTTTACGACGAAATGTTATCAATGCACTTATCCAATTGAGGCAGGAGATCGATGGGTGGAAGCACTTGGACATGCTTATCACTCAAATTGCTTCAATTGCACAGTAAGGGGAAAAAGTTTGCTTAAAAGAGAATAGCTTAAAAGAAAACTAGAAACTAGAGTTGTTCAATTTGGTTGAATTACCATTCAAATTTCAGTCATTTTTTTTTTTTTTTTTTTTTTTTTACCAACAAACAACAAAACCCCCCCCCCCCCCCCCCCCCCCACCCCAACCCCACCACAAAAAAATAAAAAAAAACCCCAAAAAAAAACCCAAAAAAACCAAAAAAACCCAAAAAAAACCCCACAAAAACCAAACCCAAAAAAAAAAAAAAAAAAAAAAAAAAAAAAAAAAAAAAAAAAAAAAAAAAAAAAAAAAAGAAAAAAAAAAAAAAAAAAAAGGAAAAAAAAAAAAAAAAAAACCCCCCAAAAAAAAAAAAAAAAAAAAAAAAAAAAAAAAAGGGGGGGGGGATGAAAGCCTTTAACAATCTTAAAGCATTCCACAAATCATTCAGAAATGATTCCCCATTTCAGCGTTGCAATGTCAACCTCGAGGGTGAGAGTTTCTATGCGAAAAATGGAGAACCATTCTGTAAACTCCATGCATGAACGAAAAGAGAAAACAAAACAAATCAAATCAAAGATTTATCGATTTATCGAATTTTATTTTATTCGCCTCAATTTGCCATGTCTTTGCTCAAATAAAATAAAATGATTTCTTTAGAGAAAATCGATTTATGGCATAATTTCTTCTTTTCGGTCACATTTCTCTCCTCAATTTATAAGCTTCGGTCTTTTTTTTCGGAAAGTTTTGGCTCACAAGAGAAAGTTTTCAACTTTGATTAAGCTATTATAATGTTTGAGAATTTGTCTTAATAAATCTGAAGGAAAACATTTGAAATTTCACACTGACACACGACAAGACAAGGCTTGGAGCTAAAGTTTGATGTAGTTTGACAAGGCTTGGAGCTAACAGTTTGATGTAGTTTGACAAGGGTTAGCAATTTCTTTATTCAAACCTTTACAATCAAGTACATTCAATTCATAAATTTGCATAATATTTAAAAATCATGGCAAAGCTTTAACCGTTCCCATTTCCATTGCCATTGTTTCCGTTATTTCCATTATTGCCATTGTTGATAGTGCAACTGAAATTGGCGTTCGATCTGATTGATAATTAATATTATGTTTAGTTTTTTGGCACTTATCTAAAGCTTTGGCTTATTGCTCAAACTTTAAAGCAAAAGAAGGATACCTTATTTATTCTAATCGAAGAGTAGTCTTTAATAGAACAACTTTTGAGAAGGGTTCAAAAATAGAAGAACAGTCTCTAATAGAATTTGATTTTTAATGCTTTATTTATTTCCCAAATTTTTGAAAATGCACTATTTTGCTACTGTACTCCGCTTCGCTTTCTCAGCTTTATTTTGCTATAAAATCTTTGCTTTACAATGCGCAGCCCTCATACCTTTCAAAAGTTTACTGATTTAGAATAGCCTTCACCACAGCTCGGATGCCAAGTTGCTTAAATCAATGATGGATTCGGCTGTGATCTCTGGGGGATGCACAAAGTTCATTCAAGCACCAGATGTAGTTTGGAATCATCCTTTTAAATCGAAAATCCGAAGCTACTACTGGATATTTCACGGAGATCAGAAAGGAGGGAATATCAAAAGGCTTCATTGTTAGATTTAATATTCATGTTAATTGAATAAATTAGTCTTAGAAAGATTTCTTTTTGAAAGTTGTTTCCAGCTTTATAAGCTTCATCAATCTTTGAAGCTTTGAAAAATAGAAGAACACCCTCTTCTATTAGAATAAATACAGTATTTACGGTAGCTTCAGATTTTCGATTTAAAAGGATGATTCCAAACTAATGAATGGTGCTTGAATGAAATTTGTGTATCCCCCAAAGATCACAGCCGAATCCATTACAGATTACAGACTTCTAGGCCTCTAGAAATCACTCACAATCCACACGTCCTCGAGCATCTCGTTCTCATCAATGATGTGTAGAAGCTGTTGTTGCATAGATTCACCTAAATATAGACAAAGTTGTAAGCCTTTTCAAGCAAAATCCTGTTTAAGCAAAAGAACCCGCCTTACAATAACAATCCCTGGCCGTATCAGCGCATGTCGAATTCGTCGTATTATTCTGTGCATCGATTCTAGCAAAGAATACCACAAAAAGCACAAGATACAGTAAATTCTTCATTGACAAAATGTATTGAATTGTAAATGTTTTCAAAGAGTTCAACTTAAATACATGAATGAATTCTCATCGAAGTCTTCCATTTCTGTTTATCCAGCCACCTCATCAGATCAAAATTTCACGTGTCGATTTAGAATTTGCAAAATTTGCACTCAATTCTTGCAGATGACTGCTTGATGTGGGATTTTTGAGTGAATTTTGGTGTTTGTTGCATGGATTATATGAAAAAAATTAGTTTATGAACTTTTTTAGTATGAACTTTATAAACTAAGCTCAGTCTTTAAATTACTAACAAAGAATTTTCCATGTATCTATGTAAAATGAGGCACATAAAGATAGAAAATAAATGAGGGGGAGACTCATCAATTGCAATTTGCGCTATTTAATCAACAAGAATACCCAGCTGACAAGCTAAAGGTGATCTCAACAGGTGGAAAGCGCAGAAAAGAAAAGCAAACGTGATACAAAAAGAATTGAAATCGAAAGAATATCCGTATCCCGATAACTAAAATGATTTCCGTTTGGGGTCAAAATATCACTTTCGAGTTCAGCACCGAGCTTCAAATGTTCTATTTCTCGAATGGATTCACAATGCCGATCAGTGGATTCGCTGGCTGGCTGATTCTAAAGAAAAGTCCTACCGAAATGAAAGAATATCGATACTTTTTACTTAATATTTGGGTGAGTTCTGTCCTCACTACCCAGTAATCAATTCCCAAAAATCGATTCCCAAACATTTCCAGGTTTGGACAACTTTGTCCGATTTTGTTCTCACAATAATCCTCCAAATTCAATTATTTTTCCCGTTATTTGGTGGTGCTTCCTGTTCAAATCTTGTCAATTGGTTAATGCCTACATTACCCGATAATGGATATTCTGCATGGGTTAGAGGATTCGTCAAAGGAAATAATCCTTTCAAAGCTTCAGGTTCTCACGATTTGGGTTTTAGTCAATAATTCGATATCTTTATTGAATGGTTTTCTGTATCGATTGTGGGTACTCGATTCGGATAGTTGGCTCACAAGAAAACCAAGGTTTCATTTGAAATTTTAGAATAAAATCAAGTAAACAAAGAAAAAAGAAAAGACGAGTTTAATAAAAACCTTTTAATAGACGAATTTTGTATGTTTGTGCTGGGATTCACGTGATCAAATCATCGATTGAAACAGGGGAATGTATTATGGCATACACGCCGAGAGATCAAATGGAAATATTCATTTTAAAGGTAAGAGAAATACTGTAAAATCCTTTATTAGACCACTCGGAAGGAGTATCGAAAAATAGAGCACCCAAATTAGTAAATGAAAAAAGTTAGCATTATCTTTATTTCAAAACTTTCAATTGAACAACTGAATATCTTTTGTTTTGTTTGCCTGACTTTCTTTGATCCTGCTTTTTTTTATTTTATTAGGTTGGTGCAGATGAAACTTCCGTTGGAACCATAAACAAAATTTATTATAAAAATCCTAATACAGAACCTCAATTCAAAAGATATTCGCCATCATCATCAATGACTCTTTGCCATCTTCCACGCAGAGAATGGATGCCCTTTTCGAAGAACTCGGGCAACTGCGACTCGAAGAAGATGGACACCCAGATTTCAACTTCTTCGCGGTTTTTGAATTTTTTTTCTGCTAAAGAGTGCTGCATCGACCGAAACAAGTGGTAGTCGGATGGGGTCAAGTCCGGGCTATATGGCGGATGAGGCAGAACTTCCCAGCCCAATTCCTCGATTTTCTGCTGAGTGATCTTTGCGGTGTGGGGTCGAGCGTTATCGTGGAGGAATTTTGTAGTCGCCGTGTTATTGCCTTGACGACGCAATGCCTGGTCCACGCGGCTCAATTGGGCTTTGTAGAGGTCCGCCGTGACTCTTTGACCCGAATCCAGCACCTCAAAATACACGAGACCTTTACTATTCCACCAAATACAAAGCATCACCTTTTTTCCGTGGATATTCGGTTTGGGAGTCGGTTTTGGCGGTTCACTGTCGTCCAACCAGTTGTTTTCTTGTTGTGTTGTCGTAACATATCCACTTTTCATCTGCCGTAACAATGGAGTCAAGAAAACCGGCGGTCTTTGCGCGGCGGACGAGAATTCCAGCCATTGTAGCTCGAGCCGCTTTGTTTGTGTCGCTGAGCTGATGTGGGACTCATTTTCCACACCGATTCGTCTTACCAATTGCGTGCAAATGGCGGAGTATGGTTGTATGGTCGCAGTCAAACAGCTCTGCAAGCTCCCGAGTTGTTTGGCATGGATCCGATTCGATAGCGTTCTTCAACTCATCGTTGTCGACAATTTGAGGCGGATTCCCGCGTTTTTCGTCTTCCAAACTCTCATCACCGTCTCGGAAGCGCTGAAACCAAGTCCGGCATTGACGTTCGGACAACACGTCATCGCCGAATGCTTTGCACAGAGCACGATGAGAATCCGCAGGCGTTCTGCCTTGTTTAAAATCATACAACAAGCAAACCCGCACTCGAAATTTTTCGTCAACCATTTTCTAGAAGCTAAAAATTACTTCAAATTAAGTAAAACGCATAAGTCTTAGATATCAAAAGACGCGCAAAGAGACGCTCTTTCAGATAGACAAATATCTTCAATAAAACTTTTATTAGGTTCAAAATATAAACAAACAAGTGTGACGGAAGTTTCATCTGCACCAACCTAATATTTTTTTTGCTGACAACTTAACGTGTTTATTTCTTTTTTTTTTGATCTGTTTTTCGCACTCAGGCGTTCCTATTTGCGCAGATCACAACCTGCTTCCACATTTCTCTATCCCTTGTTATTGTCATCATATGGCATCCTTATGTCCCGTGATTAGATCTCTCGGCCTTTGATGGAAGTGAAGACGGAGGAGATAAGGAAGCCAGAGAAATGTTAAGAAAGAGACCGAACGAGGAAATGATGCAAATGAAGCCGAGGATTTGACGAGTGCAAGTGTAGTAAAGCGGTGAGCCTTTGACGTGAAATTCAAGCTCGAAGTGATAAAATACGCCAAGCAGAACTTAAACCGATGAGCTCACTAAAGGATCACTAAAAAAGGAAAACACAAACCATCATCAAGCTATACTTGGAATGGATCGTCAAAACGTGGGAGAAGCTTTCGGAAGCGATGCAGATTCATTCAAATAATGCGGACTCAAAAGCAATCGATGGATCAGAAGACCAGCTCGTTCATTGTTACACAACGAGTGGACCTATCCCTGATGCTTGAATGGATCAAGAAGTTTTGTCGCCTAAACCCCAGTCGCCTGGTTTAATTCCCCAAGTTTAGTGTATTTTTCCGTTTATCAATTCGCCACAAGGTGATAATCAATTGATAGTTCAGAATTTCCCGGATCATTCCTCCGTTTTATCGATCCCGAATTTCCTCTTAATGGAACCGAGTCTC